TCCCACGGCGCCGCTGCCCGCACAGGCCCAGCGCCCGCCGGCCCCGCTCCCACACACCGGGCCCGCCGGCCTGCGGCGCCCCCTGCCGGATAAGGCCGCCCCGCCGGGACCCGGCCGGACACGGCACGGCCCCCGGGGCACGGCAAAACTCCTACAGGCACAGCACAGTCCCCGGGACATGGCACAGTCCCCGGGACACGGCACAGCCCCTACAGGCAAGGCACAGCCCCCGGGACACGGCACAGCCCCTACGGGCAAGGCACAGCCCCCGGGACACGGCACGGCCCTGCCCCCGCAGGAGCAGCTCCAAGGCGGCAGAGCAGCGCCCCGGTGCCGCGGGTTGGCACCGTCAGCTCGGCCAGCCTCCACAGCAGCAGCAGCGCCCTACCAAGACACGGTGTTCTGCCCCGAGAGCTCGGAGAGAAACGCAAACCACTTTCTGATGAACATCCACATAAACTGATTCAGCCAAGGAGATCTATAAAGTGCCACTACCTAAGTACCATCTTTCTACACGAGAATTCTGGGTCATAGGAAGTCCGGGTAAAAATAGTATAGAGGGCCATCTTTGGCAATACAAGGAAGCCATGCAATAGGCATTCCACTCAGCCAGACCAGGGCTGTGGTGTAGAAGCAAAGACACTGCTCCCAGGTCCTTGATAAGCTCACAGGGATACATTGTCTTGGAATAAGTGAACTGGATTTCTCTCAGGCCTCCAACCACTATCCAGGGCTCCAGTTCCCCATTTTTACCAGTTGCAGGCCATCGGCTGACGCCAACAGCAAGAAATGGTCGACTACAGCAACAATCTTACCCTTTGCCATCCCTAAATCCATGTGGAAGTGCTGCTCCTTTTTTGATATTGTCAGCTGAAAGATCAGCTGCTTCTTACACACACAGCAGTTACAGAACTGTTAATCTTTTCACTGAGACTCACTTGCTCACACTAAAAAAAGTTGTTTTTCCTTAGGAACACTTGCTCTCTTTGTGCTCTCTCTCACTCTTAAATTGAGGCCTGAAGCAGCTACGGGTTAAGTGTCACAGGCAAGCAGAAGTTGCAGATGCTTTGTTTAGGTTTTATACAAATGAAACATCCAATCTTTGAAGACACAGAGCTCTCCAATCATCATGATTTCTATTAGAAGTGATCTTTTAAACTGTAAGGTGCAAGATAATGTTGCCTCTGAAATATTTGAGAGAATGGACAGACAGCAGCTGAGTATTTTTAAACTAGCAGCACTGTATCAAAAAGTGTTTCATGTAAACAGTCATCATGAGGACTCCACCCAATGCCACACTTGGCTATGAGATCCAGGATAGCAGAAAATTAGAAATGACTGATTAAACCATGCTAGGTAAGGTATTTCCCTTATGAAAAGTATGATGAATAAAGAATTACTAAGGACAAAGACAGTACAAGAGTGTTCTGGGCTTTGAAAAACATTCAAGAGTAGGGAAATGACTGATAGAGAAAATGCTTCAACAAAGACAAAACATTTCTACTGTAGAAGAGAGGGCATGTGGCACTTATTTATGCAAAAGCATGAAAACAGGGATGATGCTGGCAGTCAAATAACAATAGGTGAGGTTATTCTTTGCATAGCTACAAAAGACAATTTTTAAACAACAGAATCCTTCATTAGAGGATTATTTGAGTAAATAGTCCTTATAGGAAATTTGTGAGAATGACAGCTTAGGAGAATGTAATCGTGCAATAAATGACAACAAGTGAAAAAAGGTTCTTTTATTTCTCAGTGTTTCTCCACTGTCAATACTGTCCTTTTGCTGCAACATGTTGCAAAAAAACTCTCTGCCTTTTCCATTTTAAACAGCTACAATATTTACAGGCTGTTTCCAATAACACACGCAGACACATACACACTCACAGACACGCAGGTACGTATATCCCTATCCCTGGCAAGGTAACCTTTTGCTGGTAGAGGCAATATATATTTTCATTGTCCATTAAAAACCAAAGCCATCCTCTCGTTTATGCTCTACTCCCCTCTCCATTTCCTAACCAGCAGCTATTGTCAGGCTTTCAAGGGCATCTGTGTAAGAAGTTACATATCCAGCTATTTGATTGCCATCTTTCAAAGTTGTGGCCTAAGTGTACTGGGCTTATCTATTCAAACTGTACATACCAGAAGTCATAAAAATTGCTCATATTCAAATGTTCATGACCAAGCGATGTAGGTATACTCCCAAAATCTTTTGGGGCAGCCATCTTAATCACCTTTTGAGAAATATGCATATCATGCTGGGGTGAAACAAGTCACATGCTTTACCTTCCACCAAGGTGTTATGTACCCACTTTTTTACTAAGGCACCAGGAATTACCAGTATAATTTCTGAAAGAGTCCAGCGCCACTGAATGTACTGCATTAGAATATCAAATAGCAAGCCAGACAAGAAAAGAATAGACGCCTATATAATAGGTATAAAATTCCTTAATAAAATTAAGTACATAAAACCTGTGGTGGTACAACCCCAAATGCAATATAAGTTGAATAATATTGTTAATGGTAAGAAATGCAATTTATCCAGCTCCATTTTGTGAATTGAGTTTTGTAATTGAGAAAGGTCTTCAAAGCAGTGTCTTTGTTATCTACACTCCTAGGTTGCATGGTGGTGTGTGAATTATCAGAGAAGGCTGAATCAATCAAAAGGCATCTCTTTCCCCACTTGCCCAATTCCAGACAAAGCTTTATAGCCCCTTGCCAAAGGCATAGACCCATGCCACATCTTCATCTCACCAGTCATCCAAGCTTCTTGAGGAGTTTGTTCAGTTCCCAAAGGCATTGACCATGGGATGAGGAATGACTGGTGGTGACTCTTGACATCACCACTCAGAAACATGCCAGATGCCCCATGCAGAGTGGCTGTAGGACCATTCAGCCTACATGGAATTACCACAAGAAATAATCATCACCATCATCTTCCCCAAACTCTAAAACCATTTCACACATGCTGGATCATGAGAGAGATCCCCAGAATCCAGCACTAGTATCATCCATTGCAAGTAGCACAGAAGTCTAGGTATCATCAGTGGTGCCACATACACAGTTCTAGGTTTTTGGTTTTTTAATCAGAACATTTTAAAAGATTTCACAGAGAAGTGAAATGAGAAAAGGTTTTGAAACATCATGTAGTAGCCATTTTTACTAATGACATTATCTGCTTAATGGGGTTTTCAAGCCCTTTTCTGCAACTAAGTGTTCTAGGGAGAAGTCCTTACATATGTACACATAGATACAACTTCCAAAAAAAAACTGAGAGAAAGAAAATAGACTGGGATCTACCCAGAAGCTGCAACAGTAGGACTTAACTGGAATGTTCTTATGGCAAGAGAATATCACAATGCAAGGGGACAGAGTAAAAGCAAACATCTGTAAGGGTTTTCATAAAAGTCTAGAAAGATGTAAAAAATTCTGCTCTATGGTAAGGATCAGTTTGGACTGACAGGACTAATTTGAAAATACCCATCTTTTCCATCCTTACAACAGCAGAAAAATATTACACATCACAACAAAGGCCAAGAAAATAAAACCAAAGGTGAAATAATTTCCATCTAGAACTGAGGTTTCCACAGACATGTCTATCCTGTGGGAAGGTGTGCCCATATGGCCAAGAAGGCCAATGGCACCCTGGCCTGTATCAGGAGCAATGTGGCCAGCAGGACCAGGGCAGGGATTGTCCCCCTGTTCTCAGCAAAGTGAGGCCCCACCTTGAGTGCTGTGTCCTGTTCTGGGCCCACCAATTTAGGAAGGACATGGAGATGCTCAAATGCATCCAGACAAGAGCAACAAGGCTGGTGAAGGGTCTGGAGCACAAATTCTACGAGGAGGCTGAGGGAGCTGGGGTTGTGCAGCCTGGAGAAGAGCAGGTTCAGGGGAAACCCCATCACTCTCCACAACTCCCTGAAAGGAGGGTGTAGCCAGGTGGGGATTGATCTCTTCTCCCAGGTAATCAGTGCCAGGACGAGAGGACCCAGCCTTAAGCTGCGCCAGAGGAAGTTCAGGCTGGACATTAGGAAGAAATTCTTTACAGAAAGAGTGATTGGGCATTGCAATGGCTGCCCAGTCATAGGTTGGACCCTATGACCTCAAAGGTCTTTTTCAACCTAGGAGGCAGTTGAGTGACCGTCCCTGGAGGCATTTAAGAAAAGATGGATGTGGCACTTCGTACCATGGTCTAGTAGTTGACAAGGTGGTGTTCAGTCATAGGTTGGACTCTATGACCTCAAAGGTCTTTTTCAACTTAGTTAATTCTGTGTGATTCTGAGTTAGAAGAAAAACCTTTTTGTCACTTGCAAGTGGAAACCAAAGACAAACTCTGTACAAACCAACATACAATCGTATGAATCTTAACAAGTTCAGGAAAATCTTTAGAGTTAATATTCCAAAGCCTTATGGAAGAGTGAAATTTCAAGTAGGTGGGCTTCTGTTGAGCAGATCTGGAATAGGTATGAGCACTATGTGAATGGCTTCACAACAGATGTTAGCCGAGTACCAGAAAGGAAGTGTTAACCTGTTAACTGTGCACATTAAAATCCATCTCCTGAAGTCAACATGCCAAAAGCCTTATGCTTTATAAAAAATAGAAATATTCATTAATTCTCTTTACCCTTAAAAAAAGTCTCTCTTTCCCTATATGCTGTTTGCCAATCTAATTTTAGACAGCTACACATATGCACTAAAATTTCCACATTAACAAGCCATTCATTTCTATCACATCTTTTACCAGCAATGGACATTGTCCTTACCTTGCCCCAAAGAGAGTGAGAAATTGTTCAGTCAGGGTTAACATACTGAAAGTTCTTTCAGTCAGCTTTAAAAAAAAAAACAAAGCAAAAAAAACCTAACCTATATATTTTGGTTTTCAGTCATTTGTTTACCTCAAGGCTTCAGTCCAAGGGAAAAAAAACCCAACTCCGTGCAACTAATGTCAAATAGGGGCTTATTTTCAAACAAACTTCTCCCTTTTAAATGAAGCAATGTTCCTAGTGATACAGAAAACCTGTATGAATTTATTAAAGGTATCAATTAATTAAAAGTATTTACCTGAAGGGAAGGACATAAAATAAAATCTTCACTAAAAGGCCTCCAATTCAAAACCTACACATTTTCTTCGATCCTGATAGCAGCATTACCAGACCACTACAGAAGTTTCATCTTCTGTACTACATTTTCATATATGCAGGAGATTAATTCAACTACTCTATAATGTGATACATATAAATAATTTTGATGTTCCACATAGTTTCAGGGGTGGCAGATCTGTGCATTTATACCATGATTAAATGGGACCATGTATAAATAAAGTGAATAGTAATATGCAACTTTAAGATGCACAGCATTTTGAGGACAAGTGTGCGTAGTTTATGATGCAAGCAAGGTCCCAGTATTATTCACTGGGAACAGTAGCTGGAATTGAGTAGCTACCAGGCACACAGACTTACCCTTTTGTGCCCAGATGGCATACAGTGACTTGAGCTGGAATACCAGTGTTTCTTAGGTAGCCATTTCTTCCTTTTTTCTTATGCCATGTAATTTCACTCTTACATTAGGTACATAATGGACAATGTTTCTCTGATGTCAGAGAATTAATTATAATAATCTCTGTGGTATATGAGAAGTCTCTTCTAATTACAACACATGTAAAGAGGTGGAGGTGACTGGGAAGAAGATGGCTGCTCCCAAAAGCTAGAACTGTATGCAAATTCCCCACAGAGTCCTATATAATTACAGGTCAGAAACAGGAAACAATCACAACAGGTACATTTCTTTCTTACGGATTAAGAAAAGTGAGTCATAGGAACTGCAAGTCAAGAACAAACCAGCTTCCCTCTCACACTCCCATGATAGTTCTGAGTTACTTGTTTCCCTGAATACACACTTTTAAAAAAATACAATAAAACCTAGGATATGTAACACATGAATAATTCAACTTCACAGTTATAAATACTCAAATTACACTTACATAGAATATATAATCACAGAAAATAAAATTCAAGTCATAGAAAAGAATGAAGACTAAAGGGAAAGAAAAGGCAAGGTGGTAAAAGTGATACAAGTTTAGGGCTGTGCCTTCTATAAAAGATCACTGAAAGCAGAAGTCAAGTTTTGTTGGGTTCTTTTTTCGTTTTGTTTGGGAAATTGTTACTGTTTTTTTTCTTTTTAATTTGGACAGAATAAAAAAAAAACCTTCAAGCATCTGTGAAGTAATCATGGACCTGCACCTTCCACTACAAAACTAAAACCACTGTGTTTGCCAGAGAAGAGCCAATAAAACAACATAGCCAGCTCTGGGTGTAAAGAAGCAAAGTAGCCATGGCTTTCTGAAGGAAAGACAGATGGAAAGTCATATTGGGGCCCTCTTTAAAGCTAGATGTGTTGTACAGGCTTGAGGTACCACTGCCACCACAATAAAGTCTGATGTAGCACAGGGATACTCAGGTGCTTTTCTACACATTTGTTATTTTACCATTTATTGTGAAGAGGATGCAGCAAATGCACTTGTACGAAATACAGAACATAGAACCAAACCCATGGCACAGCCCTTACCATCAACATGTATATGGAGAGGGAGGGGATTAATCCCAAAGGCAATTTAAATAATGGTATTTTATATACTTATATTTATATATACAAATAAATGTTCTCAGCAATCTCAGGGTTGTTTTTAGTGCATTGCTGTAAAAAAATTAGTGCAGTTCTCATTAATGTTTAGCTCATAAGGAATAAGAATCTATACATCTGTTCAGTCTCTTCTTGCCACACATGAAACCCTTACACTGTTTCACCAAACTGAAGGTTTGTAGTCAATTTCATTAAAATAAGGTGGATGAATTCCACGTACTCTGTGACAAGACATGGCAATTTTTGGCAAAACAATTAGAAAAATATGAGGTGCTCTGATCTTAGAACTGAAAAGTTTGTTGATTTAAAGCATTACGCAATGCATAACAAAATTTATAAACAAAAGATATGTCTCAACAAATCTATCCTTCATGCAAGTGTTTCTTCAGCAGCTAACAACTTAAAAAAATTTCTTACACTTGTTTATTTGGGGAAAGGGACTTAGACAAATCTGTGTTTCAAGTCCTTTCCTACAACCGGACCAAAGTTTCGTGTCCTGGGAGCTGCTTCTTCTGGACCCCTCTCTCTTCTGAATCATTGGAGAAGGGGAAGTTTCAGTCTCAAAGAGATTTACACTTCAGCCCCAAGTTCAAGGACTCCAGTTTCAACAACAGCAACATATTTATCTTCAATTTGAACCAGCAGGATGGTTTTATCTATATGTGACCGACTACTTGGATCTCTGCTGCAAGGCACCCAGCGGTGAATCACCTGGGGGAAAAAAAAAAACAAAACAAAAAGTATAATAAACTGTAAGCTTCACAGGGAGAGCTGTCATATCAAGGTTGTGGCTTATGATAACTCAAGACCCTTACAGGGCCAAAGCAGCAAAAATACAGGTGCTATATGAGTTAGCTGCACATTTTTCAATGACAGCATACCCACAGATAAGCTGCACATTGAAGTCTTGCTGAAGATCTGCTTCTTAAAATCACAGTTAGATCTTTTAAAACCATGAGAGCCAGTCTGATTTAGATTTGAATAGGAACAACTTGACCCAAATCAGAACCAAACAGTTCATCCAAAGTGAGTAGCAACTAAAAAAAGGGCACAGAGAGAGATTTGGGATATTTTGATGCTTAATTTGTAATAATCTTAAAACACCTCAGTGTTGTGCAGCACAGAACCACAGTTCAGCAGGAGTCAGGTGCCAACTACTGTCTCTTGCAAGCTAAAGCTCTTGCCATGATTTTCTTACCTATGCACTGTAAATTCAAGGTTGATCTTCTAAACCAAGTTATTCAAAGATAATTTTAAATTAAAAATACTACAAAGAAGAAGGGATTCAGAAACAGTGCTACAAATTATTGTGTCATACTTCCTTGGATCTACAGAACTCAAGTACTTTGATCTGTTACCTCCAAGGATCTTGCCTGATATTGACTGCCAGAAGGTCCCTTTTTCATACCTTGTACGTCTCTGTTTATCTGCCTCCTTAAAAACACACCCTTAACTTCTGGGTGCCCCAGAGGAACCATAAGGATGCTCCATTAACATCAGCTTCACAGAAACAGAATTATCTCAAATTTCCCAATTGTGGGAAAAGAACTCTTAATTCAAGACAAAGTAAGTCAAAAAGCAAGTAAAACTAATTTTTACAAATTCCACAGCAATAAAGTTTTCAAGAGTTCTAAAGATATAAAGGGAAAAACATGACAGAAAACCACAGTCTTCCAAAATCAAATCCAAGAGTCACTAAATCTTAATCATATACAGCTGGCAATTTCTCTTAACACTGGGTGAAGGACATTTATCTTTGTCCATTGCATGAGATCTATGCTGGATAGATACAGGGAGAGCAGTTCAGCCAGGGAAACAACATCTTTAGTTCCTCTGATACAACAGTGTGATATTTAAGTGTCTGTTCAAGTCTGACTTCAAAATGTGTCCATGTAATTTTTGTGCTGCTGTTATGGAATGAGAACAGGAATATCCTGTCCCCAGACACAATAAAAAGTTTTCCAATGAAGTCCCAAGTACTACATTCTTGTTGTCCAATTTAACACTGCTGCCTTTGAGATTGCTACAGGCATCAATACAATGGCTCCTTAAAAACTGTGTATTTGCAAAAAGTTGTACACAGATTAAAACTCATCACTGCCATATTGCCACACTAAGTTTTACCATCTCTTCTATAATGACTGGCATTTATTTGGTACATGGAAAATGTTGTCACTAGGTGGTCAAGAGGTGGTAAGAATCTCTTGGAGGAAAAGGGTTGTTCTACACCCCAGTATCATGTATCATAGAAAGATAATGCTGGGCACACCCTCTCAAAACCAGGAAAAAATAGCTACACTCCAAAGAGGACTTCTAAATGTCTTTGAAGGAAGACATTTGTGCTAAATCTTCTTTGAAGAAACCTTATAATGTCTTTCTGCCTTTTACACACATTGCACTGCAAGATATACTAAATTAGCAAGATATACTAAATCAGGAAAAATGCTTTTTTCTATGTAGCAGCAAAGTTTTAAACTACGGAGTGCTGAACTTCATACTGAGAGCAGACATAAGGTAAACTGCCTAATGAGCAGCAACTCAGCAGGTAAGAATAATTTCTGCCTATTTGCAGAAAGGACCACAGCCACTGGATCAAAAGACTGTCCTAAGAGCTTTACTGATACTAGTATGTTTAACCACAGGCAGCTGAAGCAGGCAGTGTCATCAAGTTAAATCCTTTCCTCCTAATCACACACAGGATAATCTGGTGCTTTCCCCCGTTTCTTGTTAGGTTAAAAGATGTTCTTCTAAAAAAAACCTGGCTATATGCTGTACCAAAAATAGACAAGAAGCATTCAGAACAACAGCTTACTCTGACCTTTAAATACTCTTAATCTTTCTATAGCATCAATCACAGTACGTGTACATGCAGCATGCTGCAATTCACAAAACACACTCACAAACTCCTGAAAAAAATTGTCCAGTGACACCAGGCAAGAGGACATGTTTCAATATAACCCTTTACATTGATCATCTTTACCACATTCTTGATCTGCATCAGTATGTCTAAACTCAAGATAACTGAACATTTACAACAGCATTCTACTAACAGGTGTTACCCGTTAGTAACCTGTATATAACCCTACTGTCCTAAGAGTGGACTGTCAACTCTGATAAGATTGCTTCCATGAGTAATTGTGTTTTCAGGGCCTTTTATTCATGTAGGTGCAACAGCCAGGTAGATTCAGTGCACACTGTGTTACTGGCATACCTCCATTTCTTACCTGAAGTTTGCATATATATCCACAGTGATGTGGACTTTCAAATGGCAAAATCTATCCCTAAAAGCAATTTATAAATAATGCCTCCAACTGAGGTAAGCAGTCAAAGAAATTTCTTCATAACTGATCTATTCCAAATGAAAATACAGTTGTATTGAAGAACAATTGCAGACCATGTCAGGGATTCTTCCCTCTATCACTGAGAGAATACTGCAGCATTTTTACAGACATCAAGATCTTAAAAAAAGTACCTCTCAGTAAAAATCAAAAGGTTTCAAAGACCACACTGGGTTTTTTTGCTCATAAAAGAAGCCTAAATTGGGAGATAAGTTTTCTAACCAATGCAGTGAATTTTTGTAAACTGCAGATGTAACATCCACAGGAAAAGAGAGACACAATTTCAAGTCATAGGCTTTCAGGAGTTTTAGTTAGAACAGATTTCCTTCTTAAAGGAAAGGAAACACCTACCATGTATCTATTATATAATAGAGAGACATCTAAAGATCATCTTATTTGGCTCTATTTTGATCAGAATGATTTAAAATCAAATACTGTTAATCTTTCAATTAAGGACTTGTTAGTAAATTTGTTCAGGGATTGACAGTTTAAAGAAAGGAAAATGAATGTTGGATGAATGAGAGTAATGCCTGAGAGATCATGATGAGATGAAAGAAAGCAAGGAAGAAGTGGCGGCTTACAACATTTGAAACATCATCCTGCATCTTCTCCAGAGTTGCAGAAATAGCTCTCTGCCTCAATTTAGGATTCTAGACCTGCTCTTCCAGCAACAGTGACTTTGAGGATAGCTGCTGACCTAACTCATCTACTACATCAATCTTTGCCTTGACATACAGGCAGACTGCCAGAGAAATCAAGACACTGTCTTTTTTCAGGTTAGCTTGCCAACTTCCAAGCAAAACTTACATGGCCTTCCATGCCTTCCTGAGGACTCCAGTCTTTCCAGCTGTTTCTTCCAGCTTTTAGCCGTATCACCTCATCTGGCCACTGCAGCTCTTTCCTTTTTGACACGTTGATCCCTTCCAGTACTTGACTGGGATCCATTAACTATAAGTAGGAATTGAGTTTTGACTGTTAGTTCAGCCAAAATTTAAAAGAAACAGAAACTGTAACCTTTTGCATAATTCCAGATAATTGACTTTAACCCTCTGAAATTCATTTCTGACCAATTTCAAGCTCAAGGAAACTTGAGCTCCAGGCTCTCCAAGCCCAAAGACCACTGAATTTGGAAACGATGCTGTGGTTTCAGACACCAGTGAATATGGTGAATATGCCAGTTCACTGAAGCAACAGCTCTGGTTCCATTCCCCACCTCTTTCAGTTATACTAGCTCATGGCAGGATTGGGGAGCTGGCACAACAAAAGCATTGGCAGCACACAGTCTAGTAGCAGGGAAAAGTTAAGCGATGATGAGCTGTTACAATAGGCTCATTACTTCTTACATAATATCTTAAGAAACGTGGGGAATTCATTGTTAGGCAGAAGAAGTGTTTATCTACTAGCATGGTTAGTTGAGACCCACCCCATGTTTTGAAGTAAACTGGCCTTTCCACAGGGCAAGCAGGAGAAAACTCCTGAAAAATTCTTCCTATTTAAGGACAGAGAGAACTCCATAATGTCCACTATCCCAGGGCACATATCCACTTTATCCTCCTCACACAGAGGATTAGTAAGCAGCTTCATAAAAGGGCCCTTGCCTGCAAACAAAAGCTATTAAGCACAGACCTGAAAAATTAATTTAACTTTGACGCAGTTTACTAAGGATTACTCTAAACTGAGATGGTATCAGCAATGAAATCATGTTTATTATGATCTAACCTCTTAAATAGACTTTTTGAGGTTTCCCACAAGTATAATGCTAAAGACATGTATGTGGGGCTAATAAAAGCTAAGAAAGCAAGGACACACATTCCCGGGGTTTCACAAAACAAGTAAGGCTGCCATGATTAACTTAGTCAATAGTGAATTGTTTGCTGGTCAGAAACCCTGAAGCGGATATAACCAAAGAATAAATACATATGAAAGTGAAAGCAAGTATTGTACACTTACTTTTGTGGAAAATCTACTTGGCTTCAAAGAAAAAAGCTTTCTATCCTGCAAATGAAGCTGTTTAGCTTTACCGGCTATAAGGTATAAAAGATAAACTAAATATGAAGTGGAACTGAGTTCCATTGACATTCTCAGAGCCGCACTAGAGCAAAACATAGAAATAATGTAAACAAGAAACATACAGGAAGGCTGCTTGTCCAGAAAACCTTTTCTTTACATTAATTCTCCAAACATAACTGCACAGGAACTGTATACCAGATATTCTAGAACGTGTGTTTGTAAATAACGATTTCAACAACATACAAAGGAACAACTAATAAAAGCATGTGGAAACATAAGTTAACTTGTTCTTCTAGACTATTCACCTGGATTCTGTAAATAACGTCATCCTTTTTGGCTTGCATTTGGTTTGCAGGGCTTGCACTGCCACCTGACTGAGTTTCAGCTGCATTACTCCCTCCTTCTGTCCCTAGAAAGCCCACAAGGGCATGCTGTTTACAGGCTGGGATGCTTTGGCTGGAGCTGCTAGAAGAGGGCAGTCCATGCTGCACGCTGACCCCAGTCTGGCCAGTAGGTTCCATTTGGTTGACCATAGATAGGCGGGACTGGATGGATGATGGGAGGTTACGAAGGGATATCTGACTGGTGGAAGAGCGCCGGCAAGGCACAAAGCCTGTTGTGGATGTGCGAAGAGATGAATGACGGCTGCCGTAGCAGTAGGATGAATGGCTAGCTACTGAGGCACGGGCAGGGGAATGTCTGACAAGGCTGGACTGCACAGAGTGAGAGCTGTGACTGGTGCCTAAAAGTAAAAGACAGACAATCAGGAAAGTTTGATAAAGCCTCCTACACGCAATACATTGCCAATACACAAATGTTTTCGTGCACATATACACAAAACTGATTGGTCTAACCAACATCATCTGAAACAGATGTATTGCAGAAGATCTCTGCTGCATCCCACATAGCAGAACATTTCAATACATTCCATTAATCTTATCTCAGAATTTCATATTCTTTTCAATTCACAATCCTTATCAGACAAGTGCCTTGAAAAATGCTTCAGTCTTGCACTTTCTGCATGAACATTTTCTTACTTATTATTACCACTTCAGTTTACCACACTTAAGGCAATAAGGGAGGTACAGATGCCCATGTTTCACAATAATATTCTTGATTACACATTGAAAGTTTGGGTCAGAAAATTCATTAGAACAAAAGCTATTTTAAAACAAATTCAAATTTAATACATTTGAAGTTAAAAACAAATTGCAGTTCATGAGCATTGGTGTAATGGCTCTACCTATACTAAATATTTACAGAAAACTCTTCGCAGCTGATAGATCTAATTATGTTCATACAACTCCATATATCTGTATTTTCTTTGTGAGTAAAGGCAATGTTTGAAAGACTTTCTCAGCTTTAGTGTTTGTCACCTCCTTAACCACGGATCACTATGGACCCTTGGATAGATTCAGCTAGAATACTGCGCAAATAAGAGAACTTGTTTCACTGTATAAATAAGAAATATAAACATTCCCAAAAAATTATCAGTTCAGCATTTGCAAACAACAGAAATTAAAAGATCCAGTCCGTAAAAACCTGTTTTAAAAAGTTATTTAATCTATTTGTCAGCACAACTATACCCCTATTTATCAGATCTGTTTGGGAACCTTGTATTGCATAAAACAGTACAGTAGTTCGAGATGAATCCAGCAGCTCTTAACACAACATGAAATCACATGACTTTAGTTTGCTTTTTAACTTAGGCTAAAGAGCTGAAAGGCCTGTTCTAGCTATATGACCAAATTAGTATGAAGTTGCCTCTTTGTTTCAACTTTACCCAGAGTGGAGGGATGAGTTGGTGGATGAGCTGCAGGAAAATTTGTGGGATGAGCTGCAACAGGAGGGTGCTGTACTGCTCCAGGTCCCTGCCCTGTAGTTGCATTCCCTCCTCCTTGTGACATGCTGCTCTGTGACTCATTGATAGTTGCATTGTTACTTGTGCAAGAAGCTCCACCTCCAGCATCTGAATCTTCAATATTTCCACCACTATTGCAGCCAGCTCCACAGCCTTTCCTTAGCCTGGAAACATAATGCAAGTGATACATTAAGACATACCTCCTAATCATTAGTATTCTATGAAATGCTTCATTACATGCAAAAGGATCAGCACAATCCACAGCACTTACTAAAATCAGTTAAAACTTGACTTAATTTTCTCAGAATATCCTTTGCAAATACAAACAATGCTTTCGAAGAGATTTAAGGCAATTTTTTCATGACAGCTATTCAATAACATTATTTATGACAAGTCAAGTGCTCATATAAATTAGCTTTTTAAAAATTATGCCACCTCTGAAATACAATAAAGTGATAAAATTACAATTCAAATGCTCACAGAACATCCTGGTTATTTTGGAACAATTTAGTAAAACTTATGCTACTTAACACACTAGTCATGTATAACTGTTACACTGCAAAATCTTTGCCTACACAGACTAGCAAGGAAAATGTGTCCTGGATTTTTAATGTATTTGGTTTCTGTGATCTTCACTAAAGCACTCACAACTGTTTGAAGCACATACTGAACACTCAGACAGTAGGTTAGCCACCATTTTCCAGTATACATAACCACACAGCTTTTTCACCACATTGTTTACACTAATAAGCTTCAAATGGATACAAACACCACAGCACATTTCCTCCTCCCTTCAATTCCTACTTTCCTTTTTCTTTTCTGTCACACTCAAGTATACTGAGCACTCCTTTCCAATTTTTTTGTCCCAGGACACAGAATGCTGAAGAATAAACTTTGGATTCAAATACTGTTGTGTGTCATGCTTTCACCTGTTATTCTATCAAGCTGGACAAACTGATGGCAATAGGAGACAAATGCTGCAGTAAATGTGGGATTATTGGCACTCTGGGTGAAGCAGCATGTTCTGTTCTGATATGCTGTAGACGTCTAAGACAAATACAACCATCAGAACAGCTACAGGACTGTTCGGACCACAGCACAAGCTCCTGGAACTACTAAGAACGGGGATGCAATTTCTGAATGGCACACAACTGCCACTGTTGCTTTTGGAGCCACAGTCATAGAGGGCCAGAAGTGCAGTAGAAGTTCTCATGGCCTATAAAACACAGCACAGCAAGTGTTTGTACTGGATTACCCAGGGGTCACGTGGGGAAACAATTATATCATTCCAGTTACTTGTTCTGGCACTAACACACAGCATTATATAACATATAAGCACTTGTGAGAATGTGAAGAACAGCTAAAGCTTGCATAACTATGGATGAGCATGCTCTAAAACATTAATATAGGCACTCTCATATCTGCCAGACAGGAACCCTACCAAACAGTCCTTATTCTAAAAGGTATTATAGACTGCAAAAGCCATCATACTGAAAAAACACAGTACAGAAGTTGCATTGTCTCTCATTATCAGAACTAACATTAGATCTGAAGTTGCAGCTCCTGTATCTAGACTTTGTCTTCTTTCCTCTTAGCTCTCATTTACATAGTTTGTGGTATATCACTCAGCCTTGGAGATTAATCCTGTACCAAAGCAGTTGCCATATGTTACTGATGTGCCTAAAATAAGAGTCAAGTTTATTTATTTTAATGTGACTGAATATTATAAATTATGCTGTGTTGAGCCTGTGCAAAACTAGTTAATGGAATATGAGAGCATGAACACAACACTAATGAGAACCCCTTTCCTCAGCTCACCTGTGCCATGTAGACACTATGAAGTTTCTGATGTTTCCTAAGCTGATGGCTCCCCCAAGAATGTCCTTTAGCTGTTCATGACTATCTGAGTAGGAAGTAGTCAAAGGTGAGACATAGATTGGGTATCCAATTGGCTGGTCACAAGAAGAGTTGATCATGTTCCTCAGAGCTTGTTTAGCATTTTGGATACTTCCTCTTTCTGGATTACGATTACGCAGGAAGACAAGCTCCTGCTGTTGTCCTGCCCACAGGCCACGTACACACTCCTTATTGACCTGCAAAAGCCAAGAAGAGAGGCTGTGTCAGAAAGGGAAGCAATGAGAGCACGTGGTGACTGCTGTGTTATCCCAAAGCCTTTGTGAGCACATGCAGTATTGCACTGCAGAACTGCCAGCATTCACACGCAGCTTTTTACAGGCTGAACTTAGGGACACAGGCTGCAACAGTGAGGATAAACAAACTTAAGAATGGGATGAGAAATAAGTGAGAATGAACTGATTTTCTGATACAATACTTGCACTGCATGAGAAGAACCAGCCCTATTAATAACAAAACAGTAAAGATTTCAGTTGAGGCAGCAGTTTGGTATAGTTATTGAAATACACCCCAACTTGCTGTCACACTGTGAAACATACACAGAGCTTACCTTAATGACCCTGAAACTGAGATAGCGCTTATTGAGCATAATGATTTTATATTCATTGGTGCCATCGTCCATCACGTGGCGCAGAGCAAGAAGGGATGGAGAATTGGAAAGAACTGCACTTCTCCAAGCAGGGTCCCCTTCGTGTGCTATAACTAGATTTTCTTCATGAGTTGTTATAGCTTCATAAAGGACAGAAGGATCATCGTATTCATCTGGAGAAGTGAAGTGATCCTGTTTCCAATAATAGATGTTCATTAAAGTATGATTAATATTTCAGATGTAACTACATATAAAAACAGAACATTTCCCACCTCAAACTTTTTAAATGTTCAGTGCATTACACAAAGTTAGACATCAAAAGTATCAAATACCTAGAACATGGTTAAAGAAGACTTCTTTTACAACAGATTGGTTCTGTTTGCTAGTATTTGCTTCCTGTTCAACTTAAAACCAAAATGATTAGAAGGACCTGCCTATCACTGATTCAAGTCAAATTCTAGATTAATTTTACACCAGATTTATATTTGTACTGTTGGCAGAAGCTTTTTAGTTTTAGCTTTTTTTCTTATTCATAAGCCTCCAACTGCAAAACACTCTTAAGTAAAGCACTGATTATTCACTGAGACTGTACTGTGTGAAAATAGCAATAAGAAGAAAATATTTACTATTAAAAAGTTCACATTTATACTTGATAACAAATTTCTTCAGCATCAAGACAACTTACATTACTATAAAGACAACTTAACTTTACTGCCAGTCAAATAAAAACCGCAAAGCACAACACAAAACATAAAATCTGCAAGTTCAATTCAGTATTGAGTAAGAGTAATTTCTAGGTAAAAAAGGATTCTGGTTAACAGCTAAATTTCCACACTGACTGAAGCATGGGTATGTTGATGCACTGCAAGTGAATTAAATAGTCTTTCACAGATTAACAGAATAATGTTCAGAACTTGTATTTTTTTCCACTGTTAGCATGATCTATTTTACTCTCACTCTTCATTCTTTGACTTCAATCAAACCCATTTTGCACAACTCTCTGAAAACACTTAAGAGAGTTGTTCAAGTGGTACTTCTGCTGGTTTCAACAATGATTTGGTAATTATTCTGCTCTGCTGTATATACTCCTATCACACACATTCTCCTAGATTCAGAAAGTTTGTGTTACGTGAATAAGTTAATTCAATCACCGCTAGTTTTGGGAGACTCCAGACTGCAATGAAGGCAAAAAAAGAAACCTTTATCATTAATTTTTAAACTGCAACTAAGATTTGTTTACTTATTATGATTTTCAAGTAATCTATTCTTCCTGAGAACCAACACTTCCCACCCCTTACAGAGTGCTTATCACTAAGTACATGTTTTCTTGTACTTGCTGAGTTGATACATGCACTGGACAGAATTTGAGATCATTCCTCTTCACCCACACTTCACTACAAAGACAAACTCTAATTTCAGCTTATGGAAAAGCAACCTTCTCATTCTCACCTGAAACCTGTGATTACAACACTTCAAAGTAAAAAACAAGAAAAACAACTCCCACTGGAGGAGAGGACTATGCAGCTTTGAATGCATAACTTCTAAACCAATGCGTAGGGAGGGAAGAGGGAAAGTATCAGAGAAGCTGTTCATAAGGGAAATCTCTAGAGAGGTATGAAACAGGGCTTGACATGTTCTTTGATCTACAGTTAATGTAATTTTCAAGCTCTGAGCATAAACAGCATTCCCTTTTCCTCTGTACCACCTTCCACAAAAGCTGTAATAAATCAAATGACAAGACACAGTAGTCCCTCCTTTTCAGCAGTCAACTTCTATCACAGTCCTTTTATTCCCATCCTTTTTCCTTTCTCCCAGCCACTAATTTTTAAAAGAAAAAATGCACAAAAACAAAAAACTGGACACATCTTTCTGTGTAATCTCTCACTTGATGTAGCTTCAGTGACATCCGTATTCCAGGGACCACTACTTTCCTCAGCAGTTCCATGTCAGCAAAGATCCATTCATCTCTAATTGAAGATATACGGAAGTCACCCTTAAATAGAGCATGCAGGCCATACAAGAAGGATTCCAGGTTACTGTTGAGGGGGAAAAATGAAAACAACCCAAATATTAACAGAAGTACATATCCACAGTTATCATCACTGAAAAGAAACTACTGAGCTGCACAGAAAGGCACACAATTCTTCTCTACCAACATAAGCTAAGACAGGGAAAAGATGTGTGTGTACAAAAATTTCATACAGAAGATGTCTACCTGCACTGAACAGGTAATGAACAAACTATACATGCAACAGACTATTTACATGGACTAAAGCAAACAAATATCATGAGGAGTGCCTGATTTCTTTTGAAGATTTTTCAAGGCAAAACTTTTCGGGGTATATAACACAACAAACCAATTAAAGAGGGTATCAACTTCAGCTGTCCATGCTTTATTAAAAATAAAAATGGTGTTAACTTTTCACACTTAGAAGGCACTGTTTTCTATTACTAAGCTAAGTTAAGAGTGAAGAATCATATATGCTCTGATGAATCTTGTAAATCCACATATACACAACATTCAAGAGGCAATTGGCTGGTACTTAGAGGAATTAATCAACAGTTATCCTGAAATTGAAGTAGAACAGGTTTTATAGTCAGCATCCAGCCAACCAATAGCTTCCACATCCAATTATGCTTCTTTTCAAGCCATCACCTTGTGATTTCCTGAATCTTAAAGCCGTATTTTACATCTGCTTTCTAAAATTGAGGCTGTCAGTCTGCAAGAAAGTTGCCATATGACAACATATTTGAACTGAAGATTTGCACAAAACACAACTGCATGCTACAGAGCCACCTAAACTGCGATATTTACCACAATGGTCTCATCTAACATCCACCAAGACATATCAGTTTTTCATTTTAAAGAACTTTCCTCTTTTTCCCCTAACTTCCATATAGGACATCTAGTTGGTGCAAAAAATGGAGCTTACTTTTAGAACTCGGTTCTAAACTGGTCATAACCAGTCCTTACCCACACCAGAACTCCCATCTTGAATTAGCTCAGTAAAACAATATGCTTAGTTGCAAGTCCTCCCTCATTTGCTCTTCTTTAGTTACATTTCACTGGCTGTTGTAACGAAGACAAGTTACATAGCACATTTGCCCAGTTTATGGTAAGATGCCATTAATTACCTATTTCTTCTATGACAAGATACTCATCTAAGAACTCAGAGGGATTTTGAGGATAGGAAACTTAGAGCAACAACATTTTATTACCTAGACATATGATGTGAAGCTGTTCCCAATGCTCTCCGCCCCAGAACACACAGTCCATAACACAGTGTCACTAGAGGTGAGTCTTTACTTGAATCCAGTGGCTTGTAATAACAAAAGAAAAAATAAGTTAGGTGAGTGGAAAAAAGAAATGGCCACTGCAAAGGAACATTCTACCAGGAGTAAAAAGACCCAAACACAGCAGCTCTCAAGTGTGTGTATGCACCTACCACAGTAGTCACTCTTAAAAAAACAATTCTGATTCAAAGTCCAAGCAAGAGTTTTACAAGTATTTAAGAATACTTGTAAAGGTGAACACACATACATGACTATTTGAAATAAGAAACTCTAAGCTAAACAGATGCATGCTACATTCCTCATGGTGTGTATCTTGCAGGCAAACTGCTGATCAGCTAAATTACAGGGTTTAGACAGAATTATTTTCTGTGAATACAGTGGATTATCACCAGTTAGGAGTATTTAAGTCTGATTTACCTGACAACTTCCCTGGACTACAGCTTTAGTCAAGGAGTTAGTTAGGGGAGACTTGCCCTCTGTTCAAGGCCAGCAGTATAGCCAGGGTATATAATGCCCTAGCAAATGGAATCATTCAATTAAGTGACTAAATCTGATTTTCAATACATATACAAAATATTTAATGTTCATTTCTTGGAGGGAAATAATTTTCTTTGGCTGTTGTTTGTCCTTTGACCACAGGACACCAAGTCTTACCCCTTTTAAAATAGGCTTTAACTGATCTTTTACCTCCAAAGCAAAACTGAACCCTTAAGTCTTGGATCCCTCATTAAACAGGTAAATTCCAATTATACTCCTGTCCCTTTAACCTCAATCAATTTCTGTTTATTCTCAAAGGCAAAGCTATTTTAACATAGTTATTTTGTAAACAGTAAAGCCAAGGCATTCCTCAATTCCTCATTCCATACAAACATACTAACATCCTATTTAAAAGGTGGAAGGATTGTGGAAGAAAAGGTTAAATGTAGGATGATTGTTTACACAAGCCAACAATTCCAGCGGTCCAAGGAAATGGTATTATGTGATCACTGAGAAAGGAGTGAGTCTAAGCTGGAAATAAGTATCTTGAGTTTTAGGGATTTTTGTTTTGTAGTTTTGTTTAAGTTAGGGTTGATTTGTGAACACTGATATCTAAGTACGAAACATCAATTCTGCAGACATACCCCTCTGCACGTAGATGTCTAAGATTCAACTGGTTGATCTGAGCTGGCAAATAAAATTCACTAATGAACTGGTTAAACCCATGCACTACTTACAGAATCTATTAAATTCGCATCTCAGAACCGGAAGATCAAAATAATTTCAACCAAAATACTTTAATTATACGTACTTGTTTTAAAAATCAGCATTAAACCCATCTTTTAGTCAAACCAACAGGAAAAAAGTGACACCATCCTTACCTTTTCTCTTCGAGAGCAGCAATATTCTATCCAGTTCAAATATATCATACAGAAGCTCTCTCGTGAGATCCCTGCCAGACGGTGGTCATAATCCTCATCAATATTGGGGTTAAATGTTGGGTCTACATCCACATAATTGCGGTCTGTGCACAGCCGCAGCCCCTCCTGCATTGTCTCGTTAGCTAACCATTCCTCTAACTTGGGGGATGTTGTGACATAATAGATGATTCCCTGGAACAGTAGCAGTTAAAAATGAGTCAACACTGCAATTTAAAAAAACCCCAGTCAGTTTCAACTTATTTGAATTTTTTTGGTGAAAATAAACAGAACTGCTACACAGTAGCAGTTATATTGCTCACAGGTACAACAGATTTGCATAGAAAACACAATCCAGATGGTGCATAGGAGTATTTTTTCAAAGACTGTCAGGACTTCTGTAGCCTACACTGAAGGAATAAGGAAAGAAAAAAAGGATGGGATAGGATCCTCACTGTATTTTTTGCAGAAAATAAATACATAGAAATTTTATTTAGTTAACACAGAGGCTTAGATACAGAATTTCTAAAGAATCCTAAATTTTAAAAAAATCTAAAACACAAAACAGTTTAAGACTCCTGTGCTAGGGAACACAACTTGTGTGCATGTGTGAGTATCTTGGAAATATATTAACCTGAAAATTTTCAGCTCCCAAAGAGTAGCTTATGAAAAATCTCAATTACTACACTGATTACCTGAAAGGATCTGAGGCTACAGTCATCTTAGAATTGGAAGGGCTTGTTTCTTTTTTAAGAACTAAAGATGGCTTTGGACAGCTTATGAAGACCAAAGCAGCCTGGCTTTCTCTAAAGAAACAAACTAACCAACTGTCTTTTAAAACACAGCTATTGCATTTAGGTAACAGTTTTAAAGTTCCTATTCCAGCTTCAGCTAGGATGTATCCTCTCTCTGATCTGGAGTACAGGGTCATTGTCCTGCTTACGTGCTGGACTACTGAGTCACCATCAGTACAACAAACTGTCCTCCTTGCAGAAGGTGCTCACACATCTGTAATTATCACCTCACCCTACGATCCTCATGTGACAGACATTATGGGTTCAAGACATTGAGCAGTTCCCAGCCGGCCTCCCCCCACGGGCTGCACTGAGCCGAACCACACCTTCACATAGTAAGTGGTGAGAATTTTCCGGAGATCAAAGACTTGGAGCATGGAAGCTGCACTGTTGTCAGTGATGCTGTAACCCTCCAGAACATACTTTGTTACAAGCACTTCCCAAGCCAGCCAACGCTGCCCAAAGGCTGCATTAAAGGAAAGCATGTGAGGAAGGTGGCCTGGTTCACAGCAACAAAAACCTTCATCTTCCTCTACACCTTCAGTGATGGCCTCTACTTCTCGTTGCTGACAGTAAGTTCCTTAGGAGAAAACAGAGGAAGGCAGAAAAGAGTTGAATGCTTTACATGATTGCTTTAATGTGAACTTCTGTTTGGAAGACTTTAAAATGCAACCTATTTCCAATAAATTCTTTTAACACCAAGTGAACTATCCATCAACAAACACAAAATATTTAGCTAGCTTAATTTATCACTCTAGGATCCCATTTTAATTCGGTTTCACTAACAAGTAGCCATGTTGCACTAAAATGGAAAGAGGGACTTGGCGTCAAGTGACAGGAACATCAAGAGGCCCTGCAGCCCAGTTTCAAAGCAATTTATTAACAGGACAGAACTGAAAACAACTTCAGTTTCTGAAGTAGAAGCCTACTTTTCAGTGCAGACAGCTAAGGACATGTATGACACTCACCTCTGAATTCAAGCCCCCTCAGCTGGAAGGTGACCAAGCCGTTTCCTATCTCTATAAGGTGTACTAGTGCATTGAGGTAGTCAGAGGCTAGGATGAAGCAGTCCCCAGTACTGTAGTTTCCCCAGCGACCCAACAACAAGTCTCCACATAAGCTGTGCTGAAGGGAACGGGTTAAATGCTCATAGAAGATAGAATTCAGGTTGTTGTCATCTGAACCTGCAGGAAGATTGGATTTAGGTTACCTGAAATTGCAGAAAATCACCAAGCTTGAATGTCAATTATTACTTCACACTGAATCCTATATTTTTCTTAATCACAATGCTGTTTCAAGTCATACTCTACCCCCGACATCCCCTTTTTTATGGGACAACTACTCCAAATGAATGCCAAGTAACATTTGTATTTTTAACAAAATTTTTTCATAGTCACTACTCCATTTTTCAAATTATTCCTTCAGTTCCACTCATGCACCTCCTATCAACCTATTCAAGATAATAAAGTGAAAAAGCAAATGGAGCACAGACATATCTCAGTGATGTCTGTTGTACTCATTACCATGACATTGAGATACCCTCAAACACTACTTGGTACTTTTTAAATTACTGAAGAATAAAAAGCAAAACAGCTTAATGCCTGCTACAATTATAAATAAAAAGGTAAAGCAAGAACACAAACCTAAGAGTGAAATCAAAAAACTTACAGGAGAACCTAAAGAATAAAGCAAGAAAGATGATGGAAGAAAAACTAACAGTAGACAGTGTGACAGATGTTGGGCATGGTTAGACAAGATCAGAGCACAAAGTGATCATGAATCCTACAAAAACCCAATAAAAAGCCATTTACATTTGAAAAAAAAAACCAAAACACCACTATAAGAAAACTCACCCCTAAAAAAAAAAAAAAGAAACCCACCAACCCACTTCCCAAATGGCCCCACCTCCAAAAAAACAGCTCCCCCCAAACCAGCTACCAAAATCCAGCTAGGAGAGCTACCTGGATTCCGATCCAGCTGCGAAGCCAGTCTAGTATTTGAATGATCCACACGTTTTGTGCTGAAAAGAATAAAATAAAGCATACTAAATACAAAATACATTACTGCAAGAATGTCTGAAAAAAGAAACTACTAATATAGTGCTCAATATTACCAGTGAAATAGTTTCATTAAGTCATTTTAAAATAATTTTATATGTATATTTTCTGCTCTTCTCATACACAAAAGTATTTTTTGTGTATGATAGCATTATAATGCCTAATAAAGTTTGTCCACAGTAAACAGACATGGAATAATCTTGAACTTTAGATGAAAGTGCATACATTTCCTTAGGTATCAAAGTTTTAGATGTGAGAATAAATTAAAACCAATTAAATCAGGCCAGCTAACATTTCAGTAGACTTTAGTGAAAGATTAATTTTTAGACAGTTCTTTCATTATCTGAAATTACAACTATAAATGCTTTAATCTAAGATTTGGAACATTAAATTTTAAACTGTTTTAATGTTAAAAGGGAAATAAGAAATACCAGAAATATCCGTTCAACTTGTCCTACACTTTTTATATAACATTTTATTAGTCTGATACACTATCAGCAAAAGGGAGCTTAAGAGAAATAAAACAAAAAGAAACATTCTGACCTGAAGATTATTTTACTACTGATCCCACCTTGAACAAAAAAACACTTACTTTGAAATATTTTTGTATTAAGTCAGCCAGTTCTGCTGTGAGCAGAACAATAATGAACACAGGTAAAATACACCTATGAACTGTTTCCCAAAACCCTTTTATACAGAAACTCACTTTCTGATTAAAATTGCACTTCACAATACCATAAATTCCATGTTTAAAAACAGCAGAATGGCATACCGCTATGTAGAAATTGCTTAAGCAGCTGAGGCAAATAATCCTAGTGTAAAAAACAGCTGCTACAATATTTCAGAAACAAGTTCAGTGAAAACTTTCAGTGCTTTATACTGGTTTTCTCTGGGGGAAAACAACAGCAGAAATTCACAAGTTAAAAAAAACCCAACCAAACACACACCCCAAACCAACATTTCAGACATACCTAGTCTATTAAAAACAAATTATTTAAAACTTGATTGTTTCACCTACTTGTAGTCTCTTTCCCAGAATTTGACAGGCCTGGCATATGAAGTGATGAATATTGCACTTCCCAGAAAAGGATTCAGTGGAGTAGAGAAGAAAGCTGACACAACTGCTTGGACAAACAACATGGCAGAATCTGTAGGATAAGAGAATTAAGGAAAGCAAAGGAACAACTACTGTTTTTTAGCTTCTGTGATTGTGATCAATACAGACAGCAACACCAATGAAGAGCAAAACAAGACCTCTATGAATTTCTATGCAGCAAAGATGTTTGTAGTATTTCCAGCTATAAGGGGATTCTTTTTTGTTTTAAAAACAGAAAGAGATGGAAATCTGGCACTAGACACGACCGTCATTCCTAAAAATTCAGCTGAAAACACTAACTCAACACTCCATTCAAACCAGCCTACTGAAGTGTAAAATGAAAACGCAAGGACTAAAACCATGAGTGACTCCTGTAAAAGGGAATGACTATCAAAAGAAAAATAATGTGATTTTCAGAATTATTTATGGTCCATGTTTTTTTACACCAGTATGCTATTCCTGCCATTACCATATAATTCATAGCATTGTAACAAGGCAGAAAGTGTGCACAGCTTCTTTGTAAATACTCACTACACAAACCTGTTCCTTCAGCAGTTTTACCCCATAACACAGAATCCATTATAATGCAGTACTCAGAAGTTATAAACACATGACTTCAGAAGAAGGTTTGCATTTTCAAAGGATACGTGGCACAGCAAAGGGCTGGGCAAAAGCATGGAAGGCAGACCCCCACGTGATCTGCCAGGGAGCAATGTAGGTATATACAAATCTCAATTTATAAAAGAGTTCCCAAAGCTACAGGGGGGAAAAAAGAGAAAAACAATTCAGTATTTTCACCAACAATCAACATGCCTTGCATCCTGGGAATTTACTGGTTATCCTAGAGGTCTTACTGATCTACCAGAAGCTTTGAGACTTCAAAAAAAGATGTCATTATAAAAGCAAGTAACATAAGATGATTTTTCTACATACAAACTCATGAGATGTTTAGAAAGTTGCATATGGTTTCTCAAGCCAACATAAACACTTTGGGAAAGAGAAGTCTTAACTGCCTTACAGCATATCTATTACAGTACAAAAGACTGAGAATCTGCAAGATTACCTATCAGATAGGACTATCCATCTGTTTTCCCCTTTGGATGAACTGAAACACCTAAAAATAGAGTTAAAAGTTACCTTGCTGAAGAGTATGGACATGAAGAAGAGATCTAGCAGCATGGTCTCAGTAAAACTTTTGTAATCAAAAGTAAAGAAGAGCACTGTGAAAATAACAGTGACATACTGGCACGTTGGGCTACTGAATGATGAACGCAGTAACTTCAAGCCAGCTATTGTGATCATTAAAGCACCCAACCTGTGTAAGGAAGTCACACAAAACAGTTATTACCTGTTACCTGAAAGGGGTTTAAAGACCACTTAAGCTGTGCTGTCATGCAATACCAATCTTTTCAAACTTTGATTTGGGTTTGCTTTTGGAATTGGGGGCAAGGGGTGTTAATGATTTGTTGTTTTTTTTAAAGACAACTTCTGATTTTTTTTTTTAAAAAAAAGGTTACTATCTAAATCTTTTCATCAGTACTCTTAAGCCAATCAATGTTCAAGATTATTTCTAAGCATACCTCTAAAAAAAAATAAAAATTAGAAGACAAAATATCCTTCGTGGTCTGAAGAGAAACCTGGTCTTTAATTTAGGTTATGAATACTAAAATGCAAAAATGATAGATTAATCATCAAGAAGATGTTAATGAACACTGGATTATCATTTCCTGCATGACTATACTGCTCTAATTTCTACTGAGGGAACAGCAATTTTTTTCAGACATAGCAACTGACATATCAAAGGGTTATTAAAAAAAGAAGTTAAAGTAACATAATGGCAACATTACCCCCAAAGGTCTCATAGTGACTGTGATAATGAGCCCAAAGCAAGAACTTACTAGATGCAAGGATTAAAATTAAGAAAGCCAAAAAAGCCACACACCACCCTACAAAATTAATCTAACAACTTGCCTCCCAAAATATTTTCTGTTTAGTTTCAATATTTATACTCTTTTGTTCTAAATTAACAGAATTTCAAATCCAAAAAAGACACCTGGTTACTGTTTCTTGGAGGCAAAAAATGCAGGGTTTATTATTGAGCTATCATTTGCTGAGACAGTCAGATACATTGCTCAAGGGATTACAACTAAGACTCAATTTAAGAAGCGATATGCAATTCCATCTGGATATGGATTATACTTAGGGGCTAGGAAGCCTGGGGAATTCCTTGATGAGAGAAGAAAGGGGCAGAGGGGCAGCACACTGGCACATCAACTCAGAGAACAAATCTGAAATTTACAGCTGATAAGCTACCAGAACATATCAACACTATCTTGACATTGCCATCTGGATAATCATATTATAGACTCTGTAGTTCAACAAGCAAACTTATTGCAGTACTAGGTAATTCCACAACATGTCATCTTCACACTATATGCTAGGAGTTGAATGATTTATCTTTGCAGGAGTGTCCTGTTTAACAGTGTAATACTCCAATCAGTTAGATTTACAGGCTTTCAAATAAAGAAAAGCTTTATTTATTCCTTGCCTTACTCTTAAGACAATCCCATTAAGGTGTTCTGTCTTCCTATTAATGCCAGAAGTCACTATTTCATTTCCTACCACAGCAGACATACTCAAGATACTCAATAGCCTTTTCTACTTACTCAGTATCCAGTTTCTTTGGACTAGCAATATTCTTAGCGCTGCTACTAAGCTCATTGAGGACTATCAGTGGATAGATAACATTCTTCTCTACAAAAAGGAGCCAAATGTGAAGCTTCTCAAACCACATAACATGTGCAGCATCTGTAAAGATATATTAAAAAGAAGAAATCAGATGGCACTGTGAAATCAAAAATGTCTGGTTACAAAATAAAGACTCTTCATCCAATCAGCTTGGAATAACTGGTTTCTTACAATGGACTTTGGTAGTTTTATTTAAGAAAAATAAAGAGAAGTTCCTGTCAGTAGTGCCAGTAGTTTTTGCACAGCTCACACAACAACAGAACAGTTGGCAAGCTACTAGCTTACTAGTAGCTAGTAAGAAGGAAACAAACTGGGTTCCACCTCTTCAATAATTTCAACATTGCTGTTGGTGAAGCTGTTTGAAATTATGCCCTTTATCTCACACAAAAGGATATTTTTCAACCCTATTCAATCTGAAGGACTCCTGGTTTACAAGTCTACAATACAGAAGAGCCTATGTAACCTGCCAACACAAATGTCTGTCACTTGAGCAAGTTCTTTTAAACTTCTACAAGAATTTTACAGTGTGTTTCAAATTATTGCAAATTAAGATTTAAAAAAATTGTTCTATAATATAGGCTAGAAGATTTAATGTCAAAAGTTGTGGTAAGCATTGATGCATACGTAAAGGGGACCAACTGTAGCTTTTCTAGTTTTACAGACTAAAGACTTAAGGCATACAGTTGCACTTTTTACTTCCAGATAAAGTCTGACATCATACTACAATGGCTATTCATTTTATCCATCTTTACATGCAGTCACTGAGAAAAAAATCCCACAAGTTAGACATCAATGAAAAGACCACACTGAATGGCTGCTACAAAGGTAGAAAGTTTGCAAATCAATTCTGGTAATTCACTGCTCCTGAAAGCAGCAGAATGCTCTCTTGTTTTCATAGCTATTTCAAAAGAAAAACCAAAATAGTTTCAGTTGTTTCCAAGGCAGTTTAGACAGGAGTTTCTTAAGTCCACTGTAACAATAAAAACATTCCAACAGTGAAGTCCCCACAATCTACCACAACATTCTGGAAAACTGATAAACAGTTTAACTTCATCTTTTCTGCATCTCTGGGGAAAGATTCCAAGAAAACACAGGATTTAGCACAAGCTGCAAGCACATATCTATGCAGATCAAGTTGTAAGACTGGTTCCTTGGTGTCTTCATCTATCAGTTGACCACTCACGCTATTTTCTGTTGTTAAACATGTCAACAATACTATTAAAAACCAAATCAGTGCCAGGATCAAGTCTCCACCAGCATTCACCACAGCTAATCCTCTAAAACATCTGAAAGTTTGCTATGTTGAGGAAATACATAGTGAAACACACTTGATTTTTATGAAAAATCATTGAGGTAATCACAAGCACAAACTTTGCCACTCAAGATTTTGAAGACTATGTTTTAATGGAACTGCTCTGAGATAATGTTAACACTCATATTATCATCATCAGTTAAGAGATACATAAAATGTCATGGAATCAAAGCATGAGGAACTGACAAACAAATACATTTATAGATCAGATGTAATGAAATTCCAGTGGTGAGAAGAGTAAAGAGATAAAGAATATCAGTAGGTAACACAAACTGGTGAGCAGCTACAGCAAGTTCAAGGAAGTGTTACAGACAGTACTTACTCCGGACTTCAAACTGATGGTATTCCTTGGTTTTCAGCAGTGGGTGAGAAAAGCAATGCCAAGGAAGCTGCTTTCGGAGCTGAGGCAGAACATAATGGGTCACAAAGCCCACCGTACCCACCAATGCATAGAGAACATAACTTAAAATAGGCTAAAAAGAAGAATTGAAGACATTAAGTTTTGTGTTTTATAAACAAAATAAAATATTACTTTGCTAGTGTATTTTCCAGCATATGGGCAGGTGCTCCTGCAATACTAATGTATCTCTTCACAAGAAACTGTACTGCCAATTTTAAGATAAAACAAGAAACCCTGTGAGAAAAAAAAACCCCTTCGTATCTAACAAATTTTTACTTGAAAAATAGTACACCAAAAGTACAAATAGTACACCAATATTCTTTCACGGTCCATTGCTTCTGACCCATATGCATTTCATTTTATAAAGGTATTATTCTCTAAAGGCTGAACCCAATTTACATTTCCATCTGCTAGATAAAAGGAGGTATAAGCAAATCATTAGTTTCACATTCACTTGAGAAGGTAAGAAGCCTCCCACAAGACCAATCCCTTCCACAGAAGTCAAAAAATATTGTACAATTAACAAGGGATGATGGCTGGATTTCACAATATTGCTTTCTACACATTAACACTTTCTCTAAATTTCTGTGTAAGTCTAGATAATTGCAAAACTGTGGTTGCATTATCTTGTCATAAGCTCTTTGTGAATTCCATGAACCCCAAATCTACTGAAACATACAACTGGTGAAGAGCACATACAGCCAAGTCTCAAACATGGGGGAAAGCAACATTCAGGTGGAGTGCTGAAATCCAGCTATACAATAATAGAAGGGATAGTTTCCTCAGAAAACACAAGTACACTTAATTAATGCTCTTCACCATGAAGACACGAAATTACCTAAACGCATATGCTTTTTAAAATTAGTTTATTACTTTAACTTGCATGTATTCTACAACACAGGCCAGAAATTTTCATTTGCCTTACATAAGGCTATTCATAAGCTAGTCAATGGTTCCATAATAGGAATACCAAAATAATAAACTCAGTAACTGCAGCTCTTGAGGGAAATGCTTTACTTAAACTGAAGCACAGGATCTAGTCCCATGCCATTGTCATCACGAGCTACATACACAAATGTAAAAGTAGCCAAAGCACTAGCTACAGTGACAAGTCAAAAACTTGAAACTCAAATGATCTTTAAAGTCCTGTAAATAATCATCCCAGTAAAGTCTTACTACCCTATACTATAGTCTACAAAGAGCCATGCCAGCATGGAACTGCTGAGTCAAGGTTCAGCCCCTCAAACTTTAAGCACTAAGGACATTTTAAACATTTTTTTGAGTTTCATTTTTCCTTATTTCAAAACAATTCTGACACTATTTGAGATTGATGACTCAAAAGAGGATGTTTTGTGTGAGAGGCTAAAATGTAAGTCTAAAACATAGGACAAAACCAGGAAAGAGCTAAGGAAGATGATCTTTTGAGCACCTAAAAGTGAAGACCTTCAGTCAGTCATGTACTTATCACTCTGTATGTTTAAATACCATCTAAAATTAGCCAGAAGACTCAGTGAACTACCAGAATACACTTTATATCACACCACAGTATTTGCATACAGAAGGCAAATTGAAGACACAAGGCAACGTCTTACCTGTAAAACTGTAAATACTGTACTGACGTGAATTGCAAAATAGAGGACACCAATGACTATACACACGATCAGGTCAGACTGCAATCGTTCACTCTGTGGAGTCAAAATAAAATAATTTTAGAAAATACCTGCTTTGACTGACCTCTTAGAATCACTGAAGTTGGAAAATATCCCCAAGATAAGAGTGTAGCCTTTCAATACCTGCTTAATACACAAATGCAGTAACACTGAAACTGATTAAATATTTTTTAATTACGATAGTGTTAACTACTTCCAACTGAAGTTATTTGAAATTTCACAAGATAAACCTTACAGCTAAGAGTATCAGTTCAGCTAAGTGAAAGGGAAAGACTCATAGTGGGGCAAGACAGATCAAGATATCAAATGTATTCTCTAATCCTGGACTGTGAGATGATGTAAGGATGCCCTGATGAAAGCACCGGAAGGGACAATCAAATTTCCCATTTATAATCTAAGAAGTGTTTAAGCTACAGGGCAATTAAGAGCCCTGGAAGAATGCTGCCGAGGCCGAGCTACCAACCAGGTGAAACAATCAGGCTCTTTAACCCTTTTCTGCCTTCTTTGCAGAAAGGGTACAGGAGATCTTTGGAATGACACCAAGGAACGAGTCTGAATTTTCCATTACTCCTAAACAATGAAAACAAACCATTGATACCGGCAAGCCCCGCCTCAAGACTAGTAATGCCGGGCTCAGCCACAAGGGGGCAATGCGTACTTAGGGCCCTTGCAAGTCGAAGCCTCAAGTTTAGGCTTGCTCCCACTCTGTAAAAACAGCATCAATATTTTCAGCCCAGAAAATCATTACAGGATTATCTACTCCAAAATTGGCCAAATAATTACACATAGCAATTATTGCTGCAAAGCCTTAACTTCTTGGGCTACAACTTACTGGTTTTTTAATCAGTTGTCCTGATTTTAAAAACCACAGTAAGAAAGACTATCAAAATCCTCAGCTCCTCTGCCCCCTTGGAGACTAACACCACAGTCTGAGAGCTACAGAGGAGCTTGCAGCTCCTGTGATAACTCCTTCCTGCTAAATGTTAAAATAATTGCAGTTTCTCTGCTCTAAATATTTATTTGCAGTTTCCACACTCTGCACCTCATCATGCTTCTAAGTGCTGTATTATGAAAAACCCAACTACACAGCTCAGCCTAAAGCTGAGCCCTACACAAAGCTAAATGAATATTCAACCTTCTTTTGTACAAGTTAAACATACTAAGTTTCTTAAGTCTCTTACTTATAGCTACATTGTGTCATAAAGAATAATGTTTAAATATTCCTACTTCCATAAATATTCAGAGTGCATTTGTACTAAAAATTCAAAGTAGTGTTTAAGTAAATGGAAAGGTTACATTTGCTTCCAAAGAAAGCAAACAACAAAACAATTTAGACCACCCAAACAAACCACAAAAACCCCCAAAATACTTTCAATTTTTAATTTCCATTTCTGGAACAGCAAGCACAAAGCTCTTCCTCACAATTATTAGAAACACTGTGTTAATATAGTTTTGCCACCATTAACTCTTTCCCACTAACTTCTACACAAAAACAAACATCATCTATTATTATCCATGACATAAAAGAAGATCCTGAGTGATACTTCACTGTATCCACACTAGGGAGTTCCAACTCTCTCTGCTTTTAAATAACTTAAAATTGCAATATCAGCATTATCCTCCCAGGTGTAGCACATGAGTTCAGCTGCAGATTGAAAGGAAATGCTGGAAACCCACCGTAACTAGAACCATGCTAAGCAAGATCTGGACAGATGATATATAAACCAGCATAAAGTCCACCGTAACTAGAACCATGCTAAGCGACAAGTGTGATCTAAGCAAGATCTGGACAGATGATATATAAACCAGCATAAAGCAAATGCTTAAATAGAATTAAAAAAATAATAAAAAGCCTACTTACTACAGAATTTCTAAGCTTCTCAGGTAAAGGATCTTTTACTTCAGACAGAGGATCTTCAGGGTTTTTGTCTTCAGAATTAGGAAAAAATTTTGATTGCACTAAAGAGCTTAAAAGAAAGACAAAAAAATCCCACTGAAAAGCATGTATTGTTCTATGTGGTTTTATAATAATAACAGAGTCAGAAGTTCTATTACATACTGACCACAAAAAAATTAATTTTGGCACATCAGTGCTTTCACATAGCTGAGTGAAATTACAGAGATTTCAACTTTATTAAAGAATTACTTCTCTGTTATACAGAACAGTGACTATTAAAGAGCAGCAGTCAGATGTTCAAACTGCAGTTTCTCTAGTAGCAGCAGCACAGGAGTAATTGAACAAAACCTGAATTTTAAGTGAAATCTAGCATTCGTGAAACAGAACTTGAACTCATAAATAACTGAACAGAAATGTGCAAAATTTGGAAGTAGTCTATTAGGCAGTGCCATTTAAAAAACCATGAATTCTTTGGTTTAATTCAACAGCAACGACAAAAGAAACCTATTCTAACCTGTTTAATTAATGAATTAGCCATGCTGACTAAACTTCTACATTCTTAGCAGGCCTTGCTGACACTAGAGCTCAAAAACCTTACACCTAAGCTTTTAGAAGCCCATGTGCATTGTTACTAGTCATAACAAGCTGTCTTGCAACCTCTCAGTGTGATTTTTTTTACAGCACCCTACATAGTGCAGAAACATTATTTCATTTTATGGACAGAAAGATCACTAGATCTGAATGGGCCCTACATGTTCAAAGGAAATGACATATTGCAATGTAGTACAATGCTTAACTGTGCCACAGTCAAACATGACCATCCAGGCTTTAGATTTTCGAAAGAACAAAAGAACAAGTATCCAGGGAAAAGAACCTCATATCAGCTGAACTAAGAGTAATTGGACAAGGTTTAGTGGTCAACCCAAAGATAAGAAATTTCCTCTAGTGTAAACACTCATGAATCATTAGTTTTGTTGTTCACAGAGGAGGTCCTTCACTATCTACCCCAAGCCAACATTATGGCTACATTTAAATCCAAGTTCAAGCTCTGCTTCACCTAGGTATGTGGCTGAGCTATTATTGGCTATTCTGGGGGAGGTGCTTCTCCTGCTGGAACTATTTTGTTTTACATGTATCATTATTAACTGAATCAAACACCCTCAGCATCAGATCTCTACTCCAGCAGAGAATAACATGAATACCTGTTTCCATATGCTATATGGGAATACTCATCATGAAAACATATCCTTATAATTTAGCATAATTATTTGAACAAGTGCTTGGAGCACACATTCAATGTAAGAATATATCAACAAATGAAGTGGAAGTATTCAAGAAGTCCCCCAGCTTAAACCAGTGCCTTGAGCACCTCTTTAAACACAAAAAGATGGCACCTGACTGACATTTTGAAGAAAATCAGCTGGCAGTTAAATCAGACTTTGGCACGTAAGTGATTTACCAGAAGTCACAAAAAAGGTCATTGTTAGAGAAGGAACTAGATGGAAAACGTGAGAATTTCTAACTGTTGAACCAAGAACACACAGGTTTTGATTAGTGCTGGTGAGTACAAGTTCAAACACTACTAAGTAGTAACATTATTTGTAGTTTTTCCTTGCACCTTGCTTCTTCATTGAGGAAGAGATACAAACTGAGTCACTTACAAAAGTACAGAAGGGTCACTGCTTTGTCTGCTGAGATGATACGATATTGCCACTAACAAACCACAAAATATGGAGAAGAGAACTGGAATATGCTGCCCATCCCAGGAATCCTGGAGACAGAAACAACATGTTACTAAAAAGGAGACAAAGTACACACAACTTTACCTGACATACAAGAATTATGTATATCACAGAGAACGGAGAAATTAACTACAACTCCACAAAAATAAACCAGGGCTTTTTGTACAAAAATATTGCTCCATCTTTACCTATGTCTAATTATAGATCAGAAACTCTAGCACAATGTACATCCCTCAAGTCTACACCATCTTAATCATTCAACAGTCATTATTTCTCATAACCTTTATGAAGCATTTCCTGCATTCCTTGAGATCACAGGCTCTTCAGAGCTGTATTTAGTCACTTCTTAATTTTGAATATTACATGTATTCAACTCAAGATTTATTTTTCCTAATATGCTGAATGCAGATTAAACAGTGGCTTTACTTGGGTTTTCCTGATCTGCACTGGATCTCCAAAGATGAAAGAGTTATTCCTTGCTAAAGCTTGTTTGTTTTAAATGGATGCGTTTACCAAAGGCTAATGAGACAAGTGCACAAATTCTCAGAAAGCTAATGATGTCCTGCAGGTGATAGTATCATGGGAGTAACCCCTCCAGGAACTTTCTACTCTCTGTGATGAAATGGAAAAGCCAGCTAACTCTGCGTTGGACCCACACAAGCTATAATTCATTGTAAACTGAGCATGTCTGATTATTGACAAACACCTGAAATGAATAAACAGAACCAGCATCACACTCCATACTGTTTCCAAACAACATTTCAAGCAAGGAAAACAGGGTGGGTGTGGGGCGGTGCATGGGTGTTCCTTGACAAGCTAACTCTTAAACTCTCCCCTTCTGATAGGCACATATCTCCACTTCAACACTACAAACTATTTCTTCGTTTCTTCTCAAATAAATATTAATTAGAAAATACTATTTCACTTGTGCAGCACCAGAAAAAACTTACACGAGCCACGTTGAGAGGTTAACATACAAGTACATGCAGACTCTGCTAGAAACAAGTCACTTGCATGATATTTTCAAGAATTGATGTACAATGGAAATGATGGTAAATGTCATGTGCTTTTTCAATCAAAAAAAAGCCCATTAGAGTAGGCACAAATCACACACCTTTTAAAAGCAAAAAAATCTACTTTGTTCCTGCATTACATCTCCTCTATTGACATCACAGCTGAGCAAGAATAAAACCCTACTAAATCAAACTAATATTTCTAGTTCAGTAGTTGCATGCTTTAGTTACTTAATACAGAAGGAAGCAGAGAACAAACCCTAAAATATGTTTACTGCGCATAAAGTTTTTCTCACCTTCAGGGCACCATAGCACAGTCCATACAACAATGCAACTGCCACAATACTACAGATAAAACTGTAAAGTGCTGCAAGCAGGCTTGTGGTAGCTGAATATCATAGAAATGAAAAGAGAAAACATGGTTATCTTCTCAAGTTAGAATACAAAATACTTCAATTTGTTTAAGGTATCAGCCCTCTAGTTTCCTCTGATGGAAAAAAAAGGTAATTCAAACCAGAGCAGCTACTTGCATTTTCCCTTAAAATAATTTTTATTAAAGCATTTTTTGTGGCTTTTTTAATCTCCTTAGTTATTGAACAGCTTTACCATAGGGATAGTTAACTGCAATAGAAACCAGTTGACAAAGAAGTGACAAACTTACTAGGCCAGTAATTCTATTTCTCAAAAATCAATCAGAAGACTTTCAGGCTTTTTAAAAACACAATTAAAGTATTCTATGTTTAGAGGGTAGGAATGCAAATAGTGTAGCCACTAAATTTTTTAACTAAGATACTGATCTTGGCTGCTCCACATCTCATAATTTTGCCACTGAAAAAACACAACACTCACCATTGCCACCAAAGACATGAATGTCCAGCTGTTCACAGAGATACATCACAAATGTATTCACCTGAGGCAGGAGACCAATGAAGAATACTATAGGGAAACATAGTGTAAACACTACAGAAAAAAAAAAGTTTAAAGTGGTGAATATGAAAAAAATAGCAAGGTAAGATATTTTTCAGTTTAAGTTCTAGGGTATCACACACCCCATTTTAACCCAACATCACTTAAGTATTTATATTATAAATTTCTAAGGAAAATACGCATTATGTAAAGTCCTACTTCACAGTGACTCAGAACTGGCTGAATACAGAGGTCATACAAATCAATAGTACTTTCCTTTTAATTGCTGTAGACATGGACACAAGCCAATTCAGGCTTTCCATTTTTATTTAGCAAAGAGTAGCCAGGAGTGTTCACAGATTAGACTTGTAAGTTTTCACTCACTGTAAGCGAGACTAATCTGAGCCTAACTGCCCGTCTGGAGTTGCAGGAGCAACCTAACACCAGCCATTCTGACATAAGGGAGGCCAAGCACTCCACCTCCAGGTTTTCTGCTACTAGTATCTGACAAGTTTACCCATCTTCCCACACCACTTCTGAACATTCTAATCCTAAATGATGGGTTTTCTCTTTGGTTTTTTTAACAAGAACAGACAGCTGTATGAATCATGAAATCACCTGCAAATTAGAGGATTTCAGAACACAAAGATAAATGAATGCCACCTAATTTCAATACAGAAAATGGTTATGTCTCCACCTGTACAAATAATTTACTTTCCATCCTAAAGAATAAAAGATGTAGAAATAATCTACACATGTTCAGATATAGTAGTTCAGATCTAATTCACATGCAACAGCATATTATAAATTCTAAGTTCTGAAGGATAGAAGGATCAAATAAGAAAAATAACCCTAGTAGACACAATCTGGCAGTTTAGGCAGGACTTTCTACCATCTTATTGACTTGTAGCTTCAGTAACCAAAAGAAGAAACAGACTTTAAAGTATCTTGTACAGCACGACAAATGTAATTTTCTGATTTTAAATGCCCAGAATGGTTGGACACTGAAGGACATCACATGAGAAATATCTACAGTGAGATAGATAATGAGAATCTGATTTTTTTCCCTACTCCATAGCAATGCTAAACAACAATATAATTTAAAAACATGCAGGTTGCAAGCCTGGGAAAAACACTGAATCCTGTATTTTTACTGACACTAGTTAGGAAATATACAACTACAGACCAGCTCTTCAATATCTGAAGAAAATATTTATCAGACTTCTCAAGTCAAACCTCTATTTCAAATCATTACTCAAGGAAGACAACACAGAGGGCAAATACAGTGTCCTGTCACTGACAGGTTAAAAAGTTGTTTCCAAAAGTCTGTAAGTTAGACTACCTTGGGCCCATTGGGAACAAAATTACTACACAGATCTGGGAATACACAATTTTTAAAGACTAGTCCAACAAAAAGCCAGTATTTATGATGCTTTTACAATCCATAACATCCTTGTTTTCTAACAGTGACCAAGTAGGTGAAAAGATAAAATTATTATAAATGTGGAGTAGATTTAGAGCAATTCATTAAGTGCAACAGGTGGGACACAAAATAAAGCATTTATGCTAGTCCTCACTTGTCTGTTGGCCAGGAGACAACATTTACATTATCTAAATACAAAGTTCACCTTGCCCTGTACCTGTTTCTTCCAGTTGCTTTGCCTGGGAACAGGAAAAAAGGGAGCTGAGATTTTTACCTAACAAAGTATGTTTGCTAGCAGCCAGCCTGGTCTGCAGTACACACAAAGCTTTTTGAAACAGTGCTTCAGCAACATGAAGAGCTGATCCAAGGGCAAGTGTTATCACATGCGGGGTGGGGTGGCATGTACAGCGCAGGTTGGCAGGGTGGTTTTTTGGTGTGGTGTTTTATCATGTTGGTTTTTGGGGTTTTGCTTTGGGTTTGGTTTCGGTTTTTTATTGTTGAGGTGTTGTTTTGTTTTTTTGGGTTTTTTTTTAAAGTAGAGTAAGCTGTTCTGGTAATCTGATTTTTTAATTGGAAGAACTGCTAAGAAATATAAACCACATATGCTGCTGCAAGACACCTGAGAAGAACAGTAAAATACACAAGGATCAAAACCCACTTAGAACTGTTGAACTGAGAAGTTTTAAAAGCTAATGCCAAGATGGACATGGCCTGGTGAAAATGCCACCCTATCTTTTAAAACTGGTGAAGACTCACTCTTCAGTACTTTTTAAAAGTAGTTCACTTCCACAGGAGGACATACCACCTACATGTATATTTATGTATTATCTTAGGGAGATGTGGGTATACGTTATGGCAATAACTCCACGTGGCAGAAAAGGGAAGAAAATACTTCCAAAACTGACTGAGCATTATCAAGAGAAATTAAGTTAGTTTTGTATTGTGAATGAGTCAAAAGTATCTTTTATCTTCTTTGTTTTATTACTCACACAGAATTAAGTATGCCAGTACATGAAGGGAACCAAAGAATTTGTTCAAAAAGCACCTTTGAAAATGTCTGGACAATTTCTGTTCATAAATATGCTTACACATTTTCCCTCTGGGCATTTAAATCCAGAATTATTAGCAGAGAAAGTTGAAGAAGGAAGCAGAATGAGGCATAAAATACAGGATGTTCCTAAAATCAAGTAATAACAACTGACATCCAAAATGCTTCAGTCAGTAATTCTTATTAATAAATTAAAAATTTTAAAAACCCACACTGAAACCAAGTTCTCATTTTTCTTGGACAGAAAATGGTCTGGGGGCATGGAGATGTAACATTTAACTGCCGGAGTCTTCACAAACATGTATTTTGACACAACTGAAATGCAACTGCATTCAGTTTAGATGAATTCTTACAGGTTTTCTTACCCCACCCAAAGCAGGGATCCATAGAAGATCATCCAAATAACTTTGCTCCATTAAAGCAATACACAAAGTTCCCATGATAAGATAGTCTTCAAATGTTTATGTCTGTCTCTCCTTTCTATGGGCTCTGTTTGAGACTACAGGGCTGTTATTATTTTCATAACAGGGGAAAGGATTGTTGTTTTGGGTTTTATGCTGTTTGTTTTTTCATTAGATTTAGGGGGGTAATGGAGTTAAATGCCATCAGTATTTTTTATGCACTGTGCTGCTCAGAAAACAATGAGATTACCTCAAAATGGAAATGCAGCTCAAAAACTGTATTTTTGGTATTGCTGATAGGCCTGTTCTGAGAAGAAGCACATTAAATAAGATTTAACCTGTGTATAATGTTTTTTAAAATTGTGTATGTACTGTTCTGCCCAATTGCTAAATACAAATAACCTGACTTAAGAGAACTCCTACTTATTTGCCACAAGCGCCTCCAGAGAGTGTGAAAGAGTCCAAATCAAAATATTGTTTTAACTACTGAGCAGCTAGGTCCTAGCAAAGGGAAGTGTATGCAGGTCCAAGTTAGATAAGCAAGTTCAAGGATAAGGGCTAAGGTATTGGATAATGAAAAATTTTAGTAGAGGGCATCTCTGCCATTTGTTACAGCAAAGCTACAGAAGGGGAAAATGTTCCCCTAAAGTTCTACTGTTGTAAAGCAAACAATTCAAATCCATGAAAAAGCTACTCACCTATAACTAAGTCCCTGGCTGACAGCAGCAGCAATGGGTTGGTGAAAGCCATTCCATACAACCTGAATCTTGTTGTAGATATGTTTCTGCTGCCATAATCCAACAGCCAAATCAGACCACAACACAAACAGAAATATACAGGCCTACTATAGGCTATGATACGATTGTGACCCTGTTTAAAAAGAAACCACAAAACCACCAACATTTGTTCATTATTAGTGGATAAAGTAACTTTTACTCTTCTGCTACAGATACCATCAGAATCAAAATTAATCACTGGTCATCAACTAATATACTGTGACCTCACCATATCCTAAAGTTTTCTTCATAAAATCCCTAAAGCCTTGCCTTGCAGTGATACCAGTCTGTGCTTTTTGTGGCTTTGATATAACAAGGACACAACAGTTAGATTAAGTTAGACTAAGCTATATATATATATCCTTAGTCTCAGCTATATTTTATACTATGTTGCTTGCAGTACTAAATGCTAGAGAAGCTCTGACTAGGCTTTGTAAGCAACTAAGAAGAAATCAATTTAAAGGAAAAAGGGATTGAAGTTTATTACTTAGATACTGCTTCTGCTGGATGGCGGGACAATATCTACCGGTGTTTATCAAAATACAACTTCTTACACAAAAATAATGACTTGCTGCAGAGCAATAACGCTTTTAAACATCTTATCTAGGACATAAGGGCCATATTTTGTCTTGGCAATCTAGCAGATGCACAAAAGAATATAAACATACTGTGCAATACTAGAACATGAACATTTCTGTGCTCAAACATGTAACGTTCACTAAAGCATTGCCAACTCAGCTTGTTAGAGTGAAAAGATAAAGCAGTGTGCACACTAGGACAACTGAATGATCTACAAGACTAAAACAGAACATCAAAGCTGTATCAGATCATACCAGCAGAGCAAATTACATCATTAAGAATACTTGTCAGTACAATTGCTGACAAGTAGAATAGTAAAGACTCCTCAAAAAGCTTATCATGACATGGCTAACTAGTGAAAGCTAAGCTCAGAACAGGAGGACATGATTTGCTAAATACAAAAAGTACAACAGGGGGAAAGTATCAGGTCCCTTCTCACACACTAAGACAACTACAGGCCTTTTGTGCCTTGTAAGAAGGAACACAGGAGAAATGCCAGAAAAATCACACCAAAATGATCAATTCTCTGTGGGAGTTCTGCATCTGCAGGGTTAGTACAGCGGCACATGCCCATGACTTACATGTCGGGGGGAAGAAGAATCTGGCTGAACGCTCTGAAATAAAAAGAGGAAAGTTACCCAATCTACAGATAAGTCTGTTCACCTCCCTACAGACACCTTCTTAGTTAAAGTTCTTTTAGCAATATCTAAAATTAATTTTACAGTTGTCAGGCCACATAACAGCCTTCAAATAGCACAATGTCATAAACCATTAAATCTACTTAAAGAGTAGATGTCTATAACCACAATTCTAAAAAAATCCCCAAGCCCCTTATTTTCAGGATTTTTACTGTTTTTCAACAGCATCAGGAACTTTAAATCTAATTTCCATCCTAATAGTCAAGAAATAAACAATCATTCTTAGATTACAATAAGCTATTATCAGTCTAACAAAAATTAATTATCTGTTTAAAAATGTTTAGATATAACTGCCTCCTATGTATGCTCTGAGGTGTAGATACTACAGAAAATTAAAACCCAAACCAGTAAAACATCAAGTTCAGTTTGTAGTTGGTTTTCAACAAGTAAGAATGTGCTCCTCTTCATGCACCAAAAAAAATGCATGAGAACAATAAATAAAGGATTGTTTAACAAGCAAATGTAGAACCATTCTAGTCACGTGCCCATCTATCAAACTCCTCATAAGGCCAAGTTCACTCATTTCTTTATAAATGATAAGCATGCACATTTTTCCTTAAAGCCCTAACTACCCTGCAACACCCAACTGTATTTATATCTATTGTTTGCAGAAAGTAAAGAGAAATTAAAGTACCTTCAACAGTGAGTACTGGCAACTGGCTATTACCAGGCAAAACTGGAAGACCCAAATATCCTTGAAAAAGCCCTCTATTAGAAGTACAGAGCCCAGAAATGCAACTAGAATAGCTAGGATGACAGCTAATACGTTCTCAAGGATCTCACGATTCCTGTTTTAAAGGGAGAGAAAAAAAAGAAAAAAAAAAGGGAATTTAAACCTATGTCTAGAAAAAACTGCAAAAGAACACTTAGAGTCAAAAATTAACAAGGGTTATGCTACTGGTAGCAAAGTAGTTAAGAATAAATTTGAACTTCAACAGTCTAATAGCACACTGTCCTTTAGCAAAGCTAGGAGCTACCAGGATTTCAATCACAGCTGAAAGCAGTTAGTATCTTATGGAATTTTACTTTAAACAGCAGAAGATAATTTCAGCAGATAATTTTAGAAATAATTCAAATGTTCCACCAGAAGCATGTCTGTAACATAAATCTGTATTCAAAGCCTATCCAAGATGATGATAAGCCTAAGAAAAAACACAAGTATGATAACTTACCTGCGTATATAATCTGTCATTCATGATTTTCTAATGAAGAAATTAAAAATACTCTTGCTTGTGTAAGATATGCCAAGTGGAATACAGATATTCCCTACGATATTGCTAGTGCTTTGGAACAGAGTTATGAGTATTCCTCCCTGGACAGAATCACTACTGTCCTGTTTATTTCAAGGAGGTTCACTACCAAAATATAAATACTCTACATATTCCAAAAGCTGACAACTGTCAGATCACCTTAATTTTATTCCTCTAGGTAAATGTAAAGGGACAAGAAGTCACAGTATTAAACGATTCTTTGAAAAAATGCTTTGGAACAGCAGCAAATTCTTTCTGTTTACCAAAAGACTAAGTGCATACCAGGTTGTAGACCCTTGAATTAATTTTTGGAGAAAGCTATACTCTAGCTTTAAAGATTGGCAATGAATCTTTCTATTTGATCATTCAAATATGTGACTGCCCCATGCAGGCAAAGTGAGGTTGGTTTCCTGTTTCCTTTTTTGATTGCCACAGAAGAAAATGAGAGTAGCCTCCATTATTTTAGAAAAACTACATTGAGTATTATTCTTTCATTTTTCAGAGTGCAATAAATAAGTACCACTCTCTAAGGATAGTTTTATCTATATCACAGTTTAGTAATTGTTTCCATCTTTGCTTTCTGAGGTCTGGCAACATACAAGGATCTCACCTATCAAATAAAGCCAGAAGAGTTAATCTATCAAAATTGATGCTAATCCAAAGTTTAGGCAGGATCCAAAAGCGATAGTACTGCTTGACTTTTTGAGCTGCTTCTTCTTGAGGCTGCATGTGGTCCTGAAGGTCAGGGCTCAGGTCAATATCTTGCTGCTCCAACAGATCTGTATCCATTGTTAGCAGCCTGTTCAACCTGATCTGAGGAAGAGAAAGCTAAAAGAAAGTTAGTATTAACAAAAACTCCTTTGTATCACATCACTGTATATGTACTGAATATTGCTTTGAAGAAAACTGCGAGAACTCTTTAGTTTCACTTTTGAGGAATTACATGTTAAGCACTGCCACAGGCTTCTACTTACTTTTTCTGTCCTTATTACAGCACATGAATAGGACTAGCAGCAATAACAGTTTGCATACAACAACTCCACCATTTCAGTATATGCCTTATTTCAAATGAATGCATCTTCCAAGCACATTATCCCATTTACTCTGAAAACTTCAAATTTCAAGACAACTGATACATGGACAACATACACTACAAGAATAATCCAATTATTAATTTAAATAAATTACAACACATTTCTTATTGTCAGCTAATCTGCATGCAAACCATGGTGAATGGTTCTTTTTGCATGACAAAGCAACATAGTCGTGCACCAGCAGTCAAACTCACTGAATCCAGAATACACTCAGAAATGAACCAAAGAAAAAGCTCTGTCCCAAATAGTCAAGTACTATTGATGACTGACTATTACTTATTTTGTAGTTTGTTTAGAGTTCTCATGAAACTCACAGTAATACTAACAACCATGAAAGATACTAAAGGAGAGTACTTGATGCTAATAAGATACTATAGTACATATTGTATAGCCTAATCCAGTTTCTAACAGGTCAAGAAACATCTTGATGTACTGCCCTTTATTCTTCGGCAATATAATTGTTAAAATGTCCTTTAATGAAAAAGCTTCACAAATGTGTAAGGCAAAGAGTAAAACTTCAATACTCATGCCACCTTCAAGTGTCAAAACTACAGGTTTAGTGTTTAGAAGGGCTTTTTCCCAACAACCATCTAAGTTTAACATTCAATTTCTTGATTTATAGAATTTTTTTTTATCACGCCTTAAATCATCAGAATCTTAGCCAGCTTCTCCTTCCTAGAAAAATACTAATGAAAAACCAAGCAGGGACACTCCCTTTCTAAAGGCATTTCAAAAACACAAACCATAATGTTTAAGGTAAGCTGTGTCAGAAAACAGATGCTTTTTTGACAATTTTTAAAAAACTTGATTTCTTAAAAGGTAGAACCAACATAACATTCATGGCACTAATAATAAATTTCGGTGGAAATTTCCATTTAGGTGTGTGAGTTGAGCTTTTACAGTCACAAATTTGCCTTAAAACAGAATCAATCCCTTCAATGGGACTACACTGGCAAACCAAGAGCACAGAAGAGGTAATGCAGCCTCTTTTCTAAAGGCTACATGTTTGAGGGGGACTGTGAAAAGCAAAGCAAGTTCCTCTAGCAGACACCAAGTTTAAAAAGCACGTTCTTGATCAAAAGCATGGTCAGGCAAACGGAGGTCTCTTGCTTCTCTGCCAAATCCTAAAGCTGTGTTTCATTTTCCCTCTTGACTATATCATTATATCTTGTTGTACTTCAACGTACTTCTCTTTGGTTTGCCAGCTTAAGAATCATGCCCTTTTGCACTGTTCTCAGAACACAATATGACTTCAGAATTAAGAGTATGGGTATGCCTGGACTTGACAGTAGTGCAAAAGCTTTCAGATCACAAAACTAAGGAATTATAAAGCTATTTGCAGTATGAAACAGTGTAAGCTTCTGCTTTGTTTTGCCAGTCACTTCTTGCATATAGATTTAATTTTTTTACAGCAGACTCCAATGACAGATTTCTAAACTCCTTTTAGGGAAATTACTCAAGTGAAGTGTCTTTTGGTCAGAACACTACATTTAGTCTTTCTGCTGCCTGCTAACCTCAGTAACACACAGAAGGAAAACTGTCCGAATTGTACACATTATCTTCGGAAACTTTTATAAAGTATCTTAGAAAAACTTCTATGACTGTTTTTAAATCACTAGGTTTTAGATCAGAGGAAACCAACTAAGTTTTAAAGTGCTACGTAAGAAGATGAATTTCTATGTACATATGAAGACACTACAATACTAAATACTTCCTCTTCATTAATCCAGACAAAATTCTTTCACAAGAACAGAGAACTACCACACAGAATGATTAATCAGTGCTATAAAGTTGGATAGTCTTCTGATTCTTTGCATGCTTTAAAAATAAGTAAGAAAAACTTACTAGATCATGTGGATAAAAGCGAACTGAGGTAGAACTCGATACGTGAGAGTCCGTGTCACTATAAGAACAGGGAAAATACTTCAGATTATAAACTACATTTTATTTCAACAGGTCACGCTAACTTTCTAGTGTCCCAAACTAATTTTGATACCTTGTGAATTTTATGTAAATATCTTTAAGTTTTTCCTTCAGTCACTTACTATAAATGCAAGCAGCCACTTAAGTCTCATGTATTGTGGTGCATTCCACAGCTATAGTAAGCCAGGAGACTCTTGAATCTTACACTTATCATTTTCTCAACACCCAGTCCCTAAATGGTCTAAAAAGAACTATAATGATAGCCATTATTCCACTTGAAAAACAAAAAATTTATAAGCTGTTAGCTACTGATTTGTAAGATACATCACATCTCTAAAGAAGTGCAGAGGCTGCTAGGTGTTCACATGCAGTTTCTCATAATTCTATACTGCTTTTATCAAGATCCCAAAACTGCCAAAAATAGTACATACTTAGCACAAGCAAAGAGAGCTACTTAAACCACTTTTGAAAAACTTAAAGTTAAACCTCTGGTAAGAAGAGCAAAATTACTTTGCAATTTCCAATCACTAGAGATGAAGAGAAATTTCTCTTACTGTATGAGAGTCCATATCCAACCATTGCTTTTTTCCCCAATTTTGGATAGCTTTTGGATGTTTGTTTTCCATGTAAATCACATGGTTGTAAGACTTGTATCAAATTTATGCAACTTTCCTTCAGTTCCTTGCCTTAAGATAAAAACATTCTTTGTTATCAACTTTACTTCACTCAAACTCAAGTATTCTCTACAGCCGAGATCTGATTATCTGAAGTGGCCAGTCTGTTCCTTCCATTAGCACATTCAACTTCATAACAGCAGCCATCAGCAAAGCCATTGCATCTGGAACATGCAAGCAGTAGAGGCAGGGATTGGCAGCTTGGTGGAAGGAATCCAGAACTTTTTGTCAAAGTTCAAATCTACAAAAGGCATTTGCACACCCTCACAAGAAAGATTTGAAGATGGGATGTTTTATACTCATTACTCCATAATTCCAAGAGCTATTCCACCTACATGTGGTAAGAATCACAGCATTCAGCATGGTGCAATAGCTTCAGAGCACTTCTACATAGTGAAGTAGATTGGGGGCAGGTGGGAAGCCACAGGAGGTTTTGAGTTACTTTTCTTTCTTCTGCCTCCTTTCCCTTCAGAGAAAGAAAGGGCATCTTTCCAACAGCAGATGAACTTTCCAGTATATAGCTGGCTATTTCAGCTGCAAGTCAAATTTTAATCTCAGGCATGTTAACACTTCCATTTACTGTTTAATGCCATCTACGAACTTGAGAATAAATGTATCAGTTTACAATGGCTTCACAACTGGAAGTTCAATAGCCATTATGGTCAACAGTCATCTAACTTTCTCAAAAATGGGTTAAATTCTTTAACAAAGACTTTCTATAAGCCAACAAAAAATGCATTTGTCAAATTCTCGGTTTGGAAGTGTATTGCTTAAGCTAATAGTAGCACTCATTTTCTGAGGCAATATTTAACATAGTGTCATCTTCCAGTAAAAATCACTTGGGTCACAAAAGCAAAAGTATATGGTTAATAGATTGTATTGATTTTTTTTGGTAGTCCATACTAAATAACCTTTTAAAATTAAAGTAAAAGATTGGATTGCAGTAAGACAAGAATCATCACTCTTGACTGGCCTTCACACACACCAGATGTTGGATGCTCTTCTTGCAGCTGGCTCAAAGTTCACAAGCGACATGTCGCAGCCCCCTGTCTCGTAGAGCGTAGAACTGAACTTACCTATTAAAGAAAAGGTCAAAAGCAGGTCAACATTTCCTCATGTTTCATCCCATTGGCAGCTGCTTTATTCATTAACTTACTATAGAGATCAATTCAAACATCTGATCTTACATCAGTGTCAAAATACAAAATGTGATTAGTCATGAATGTGTCACCAGGGCAGACATTAGCTGTCCTTCGTACCATTTAGTGTAACATATGTACTGTAACTGCAGTGCTGAATTAAAGAGTTTGTATTTACAAGATGCCACCATTAACACAACATAATGACAATGTAAACCTTTTTTTTACCCTTAGAGAATAACCACATGAAAAATTTGCAGTGAGCAGCTTCTTCATTTCTTTCCCACCCCCAACAGAACCATCAGTAAATCACTCACTATCAGCATCTAAGAATGTTTAGCTACAGCAGCAATAACCCAAGTATCCTGAATAAAATTCTTTTGAGACACCCATGTCTATTTGAAAAGAAACACAGAGACTGAAAGAAGTGGCCAGAGATGCTTCATAAGTTAACTTAGGAAACCCAAAAAAGGAATGTGCGGCAGAGATTTATTCTACAAGCTAGAAACAAATGCTTCAGTGTAAGAACAAAGGACTGCAAACTAACATCTTAGATAAACCATTTGGACTTACTTCCAAAATACATAATTTTAAAAAGTAGCCAAAGATTATAACTCAAATGATAAACTACCTTACTCAAATATGATGTTTTCACAGTACCCTCCTCCCAGCATTTGCCTGATCAGAGAGATAAGCATTGTCATTTTCCCTGAAGGCCAGGTTCAATATATTTCAGCTCTGAATGCAGGGAACCTGATTTTGAAACTGATCTCATATGAAATCATCTGCCAACTTCTCCATCTCTTCTAGCTTAAAACACTTCTTAAGTCATGATGCAAAACATGCAATATTCCATTATTAGCTTATATAAACAAAAGAAAAAATCCCACTTGGGAGCATGTGAAGAAAAACTGTATACACCTCTCAGCTGTACATCTTGCAGCTTTTCCTTCTGCTGATACAAGATACCAAGCAGTCCCCCCAGAAATACCTAACAAAATAAGAGCTTCCAATCTTTCCCATTTCTGTGAGAGCACGTCCTGCTAATACCATGGATTTTGAATACTTTTTAATACAATATAATCCTGCAGCAGCTTCTCTTGAGACCCATAGACATTTAAGTTTGATTCAGAAGCATTTAACTCTTAGCAGGTTAAATCCCTCAAACTAGATGCTTACAACCAGTGAAATGAAGAAAAAGAACTGGTATACTGAAAATATCTTCATAAAGCTTTCTACCCTCAGAGGGAGCACTTCAGACCAACCAGGGAAATACCACAGCTGTGCTCAGAGCCACCATTGTGACAAAGACAGTCCCCTACATAGCTCAGGAGGCACAAACAGCACGCACAGCAGCTCTCTTGATATTCAATTACATCTGCCACAGGCCTAAGTACAAAACTCAGTTGTTATTAGGGTTTCTTCCTCATTGGATAAGATTTTAATGAAGTGCTTTAGCTGATTATCTTTTGGTTTTTTCAATGCAGTGTATAGTACACAGTTAAAACTAAAGTTTAAATTTTAACTAGTAGATAACACGGGGAATCTTCCCACAACTTAAAAAAACCCTTGGTTACAAAGGTATATTTATTAACTGCATCAATAAAAAAGTCTCAAGAGCAAACATGGAGATACTGGACAATACAAATACACTTCAGGCTCTATTCAGGACAAAAATGTGCATTAATTATTATGGAAAAATCTCCTGGGCAAGTAGCCCTTAAAAAAAAAAAAAGGAAGTTTGGGTTAAATTCTCCATGGTTTTGCATTACTGAATAGAGATCCTGTAAAGTAAACTTTTTCATTTTTAACTTAATGAAATTCTAGCCACAGAAGTTAGAATATACTACTTGGACATGCAACTTCCCCCTTCCCTTGGGCTGAGGAAAGCACATCACGTATTTATTTCAGAGGCAGTTTACTGAACTATTACACTTTTTCAGTTCCCTGTCACCCAACTTATCTTTGAATCTATCAAAATTTACTGCATTTATATTGCTGCTGTAAGTACTGCACTGCTGCAGTGGGATATAACAAAACTGAATAACAGAGGTAGCAAACAAACAGAACACTTCATTCCCACTGTTTATACACAAACTACGAAATGGACTCAGGATATGTCATGCTTGCAATTCACCCACCTATTTAAAGAGGCCTTCCATTGAAAGTTAGCTCCCGGGCAAGCACAGCACAGCTTCGCATTAATACAAAATCTTTTTCTGCCCCCCCCCCTTTTTTTTTTTGTTTTTCTTTTGCTGTTTTTGATTTGGTTTGGTTTTCTTGCTGTCTTTTTGTTGGGGTTTTTTGGTTGGTTGGTTGGTTTAAATAAAAAGATTTTTCAGAAAAGCCTCAACTCATCTCAGTAGAAAACTTGACAGGATCGTTCATTGCTATTGGTGACACAAACTCCAAAGTCTGACTGGAGATAATTAAATGAGCTCCAAAATCCTTAATTTTTAAACTCTATGAGATGGGAACAACCTCCTCACAGTACATAAATTCTAACAAAGAATTTCAATACTCAAGATTCAATACATATGGATATACCTAGCACTTCTGTTTACTCTAGTGACTCTTTCCCATTCCTGTCTCCCACAGCATTCTCCGCGGGATACTTGGAACAGCGCCACATTGAATAACCTTAACAATGTATTTCCTCTCTCTAAAGCCTATCATTTTATCAAGCTGTGAACAAATGGGAGACTCTAAATCATGCTGCAAATCAAGAAATATGATCAACAGCATGTTTGCCCAGTCAACGTAAAAGTCTAACTTCTCTGCACACAAACACACAAATAAAGAGAACTGTACGTTCTTAGCAAATTAAAGTCACCCAAAAATATTCTATTTGGACCAGGTTACAATAACAAACCAAGACACTGTGATACTCAAGCATACAAATCCAAAATACATCTTCGTTCTGACATGGAGAGAAGACAAAATATATGCTCTTTGAAGCAAGTTTCCTTGTTCCAAAAGACCAAAATAGCTCATCACCACATCCAGAGACAACCATGTAACAGTTCACACTGTACAAACTCATATTCCCACAGTTAAGGGCATCAACAGACAACAGCAACAGGCTGATGAGCTTACAAAGACGTATCTGGAAGATTTAAGTGGCTCAGGATTTAACTGAAATGGTGCTCTGATGGTTTTCTCAGCTAAGTTACTTTCAGTGTGCTTCCCATTTTTACATCCAATACATACTACTTTTTTTTCAAACCACTCAGACTAGTTCACATGCAAAGGCTTACTGACATGATGAAATTACATCATCGTTAGATCAAGATATATTTGTTTACTGCTTCAGCCAGTGTTTTTTAAATAGTTAGCAAAACCAAAGTCATCAGAATTTGACTACTTGGTAGACTGCTAGGAGTTTTATTTCCAAAGGTCAAAATTTTCCTGTTAGCTAAGGTATGAAGGCATACACGTTTTCAGTTAGAACACTTCAAAGTAGCTCATTATTTGTTCCTATATGAAGTTTGTCAAAAGAGTAACTTACCTATTACCCCAAATCCCAGACTACAAAACTGATATTTTCCATAGGAATAATGGGAAGTGAATATTTATTTTCCATATGGACCTTTGAACATGCTCCCACATCCATGCCAAATAAATTATATATATATTGAATTATCAAAAGGTACTGAGTGACTGCTTCTAAATTGGTTTTAATCTAATAAATACCCAGTGTATATGCCCATCTTTCTTCACATAAAAGTTTTGATGTTCAAAACCATTTAACTTCCTTCATAAATTAAAATACTTAAATCTGAAAGGTTATTGCTTGTTATATAAACAATACAACCAGAGATCCACCATACCACCATAATTGTCTTGTAAAGCTCTAGATGAGCAGTTCTCTTTAAGCACAAAAGCAATTTTAAAAAATCATCTATCCAAGGACATGAGTCTGTTATTTCACCCCAGCTTCAGACACCGGCCATCTGTTCTACTAACTCAATACTTGGATTCCTAACTACTTGACAAATTCTAATTTGAATTTAATCAATCTTCACTGCAAGGGCTGAAAAATCCCACCTACCTGTCTAAACAATCAGCTATTAGAACAAAAAGAATCACTACTGCCACACTCTGCTCTGAAAACCGTCACTCACTTAAGTCACGGCACATGTTTTGCTGCTTTTGAGATTTGTATTACAGCAATCCTGCCTATAATCATGGCATTTAGTTTGCCACCTTTCCTTTCATTCCTGCATTCCTTCTATGATTTACTTCATGTTTACCACTCCACATCAAGCTCCTTTTCCATCCTTTCAAGTTCCTTCCCCGTCAACGTTCCAATAGCATAACTGATAAAAATCTTCCTACTTTGAACCTGGAAGACTGAAGATAATGCCTCAAAGCATGTCTTGCCTTACTCCCAGGGCAATGCCCAGTTAAAGATAACTGTATCACCACCACGCTGGCTGTGGGACAGGTATAATACAGTGAGGCTCATCCTAGGTAAAATAAGCCACAGAATCAAATTAACAAACAAGAAACTTTAACGTAAACAAAACCAAAAATTGTGTCTTATTAAGTGCTGCAGCTTGACAACAACACAAATAGAAAAAAATGTAGAAAGTAAAGGAAAACATGAGCCCTATATGTGAGGGCTTTTACAGTAAATGAATATGTGCCCTGCTTGCCTTTCCAAGAGGATTTGAATTAACAAAAGAAACTCTTCTATGCACTGTACAGAGATATATAACCCCATCTATGCTTGTCACTGGTATTTCCAGATGGAGTAAATCAGGTTTTGTTTCCATGTATTTCCCCAGCCACTATTTTTTTTTTGTCCTGGGCAGTCACTATGATTTCCACAAAGAACTGGTCATAACTCCTTCATCACTTTTATTTTTATTCTGATGCTGATCAAGGGAAAAACAAACTACAACTTTCTCCCAACCCAAACCACAGACAAACTGGGTCATCTTTCACTGTAAGATATTTTGGGAGAACATAGCAAAACCAAGAGCCTTAGACTCAATGGAAAAATAGTGCTACCTCATCCCTGACTGACGGTTAAAAAAACCAAAAAAACCCAGAAACAAAACAAAACAAAAACCCCCCCAAAAAAAACCCCAAACAAACCACATACCACTTATAAGGAAAGATACTTTCTTGTCAGGCCTGATAAAGGAATCACATACACAGAAAGCTTGCACCATTTTGCCAACTGTTTTACTCTTAACAAAAGATAGCACCTGTTCCACAAAACCTGCTACACAAACTAGAAAACTTGGTTTTCCTAAAATAACACAAGAAGATCCTGCCTATAATAGCTCCTTTCTCTCAAAGGATTCTAAACTAGATGCTCAGAGTCTCAAAACTGGAAACAAATCCCTGTTATGCATCAGATTTCTATCTAGCAGATACCAGAAGTTTTGTGCCTCCCAAAGACAATGTGATGTCTCATATAATTGTAAGCACAGTACAGGTAAAGTTTCAGAAGAATTGAGTCTCATGAATTTGTGAAGACTCCAATGCACAAAAATAAAACGTATATGCCTTTTTAGAGAGTCTGAGTGCCATGTTGAATTTTATACATGATCTACTTTGATTTCTGCTATAGCAATTAATACAAGCTCTTGAATAACATAGACCTAGATTGCATATTAAATGACAAACTCTACAGAACTCAACTGTATTGTTTGGGTAAGATGAACCAAATCCTTCAAATAATTAATGGCGGCCTCAAGAATATAGCTCAGCATTAAACTTGGACAGAAATAACCACTATAACAATTTCAGAGTTATATTTCAAATATCTTTTCAAATATTAAATAAGAGCCCAAATTAAATTAAAAAATGGGTTTCATGTAACAAGTTTTTATAGCTGAGAGACACAAGCACTGAGATAGAAACAATAACACTTCTATCTAGAAAACAGTAAAGCAACAGACTCTACTACAAAAATTATTAGATAAGGAGATAATGTGTATTTACTACATTTGTAGTTAAGTCTTATAAAACATCTCAGAGTAGGTAATGGTCATTTTCAGTTTTGCTTACATTCCATTTTCCCTTATACTGCACTAGATGATGCAGAAGAATGAAGACCCAGTCAAACTCACATTTAAAGGATTACCACAGACTCTCAATTCATGGAGTCAGTTCTAGTGGGGTAAGAGACAACCCACTTATCTTTTAGTCCTGGATTACACAAAGGTCTGAAACACATGTTTTGTCAGTGTTCTGATCAAACCTGTACTTTTAGGTTATTAGAGCTGACAGCTGCTCAAAATTCCATCACTAATAATTGTCAGTGCTGAGGATGCCCATTTTAATAATTCAAGGAAGAGTTACGCATTAATGATGAAGTCATAAGTAATTCAGGCTACGTATAGTTAGCAGCAAAGATCCCTGCTGGGAATTTGTCCAAATCTGTCCCTGCATTATGTGGCAGATCAGTCACTTATTAAGACCGTCTTAACTTCTTCCAAGCAATTTTATTAGCTGCATAGAAGTTAATTAAGAAGTTAATAACCAAGAATACCACATAAAATGGACCATGAAGAACTAAGAAGACACTATAAAGCTCCATAAAATGAAGATATTTGATATACGAAAGAGTCCAGATTTACTTCCAATACCAAGCTCTTAAATTAAGGTGTACATTCAAAACAAAGCATTCATTTACATAAGTATTTCTTTTTTGAACAGCAGCTAAACAACTCATCTAAAAAAGGTAAGATCAAGAATTCTTAGGACCCATAACAAGTAGGCTTTTTTTTCAGGAACCAGAAGATTCCCAAACTCTCCATCTCTGCTCAACTGCCTGCAGGACCATAGGAAAGATTTATCAAATATGTTACATTGTTCAAATCAAGCTCTCACACCCTCATTACTTGTACCTATGACTCCTTATTTCCCATCACGCATTTGTTAGACAAACTGCCTGGAAAGGTGATTGAGCAATATAGCCTTCCTAGAAACACACCTATAAGATTCAGAAACAACGCTCAGGTTAGCTGATTTTCAGTGCATTATTACCAATAAATCTGCTGTATTAAAACTTCCATGTCACCAAGGTTACATAAGGCCTGCATACCAAGTTCATCGTGCAAACTGCTACCGCCTACAGCAGATGCAGTGGCATGTGATGCTTCTAAGTGGACACTCCCATTTCTCACCAGCAAGGAGGCGCTAGCGCCGGGCACAGCTGCCTGGGAAGGGGGGCAGGACTGCACTCTGACCTGGGAGGAGCACTGCTGGCCTTGCTGACCATCTTGAAGGCTACGAGAAAACACGCATTGGGGACACATTACCAGGAAGAAGTGAAAAAGAGCCAGAAGTGAAGCAAAACAAGATTTTTCAGTTTAAAGAGGAACTTTTTTCTTAAATAGTAGCATTAAGCAGCCAACCGTTAAGGTTAAAGTAATCCCTACATTCTATGCAACAGAGTATTTAGGCCCTAGTTACAGCAGTAATCTAGAGATATGGTTCCTGTCAACTTCTTAGAAACAGTATTGCTTTCTAAGACCTCCCCAAGTCACCCAACAGGTATATTCTGTGTCTTAATTTGAGGGTGCAAAAGCAAATTACTGCCAGTTAGTTTGACTACAGACTAGCCTGAGGTATCACCTATATTTACTACTGACTATTCCAGTCTTCTCACAATCACTGGGGTCCTTTTTGCTTATTCAAGTATGACCTGATCAGCTGTTTAGGGCTTTTTTCTTAGTCACCAAGACATCACCTTTCTTATTATTAATGCACACTAATTAGAAAACGTCTTTAAGCTGTGTTAATAGCCACAGGATACCACAGGCCTTGTAGATAACTGAAGTAATATGTCTGGATTCAGAATTACTTTGAACATATTAAGACTCTCTATACAAAGTTTTTAATTGCAAAAGTAAAGTTGATTCTGAAGTTATTTTTAAGTTGTAGCAAAAGCTTTATTAATCACCAAAATACAGGTTTTAAAAGTCAACCTGGCTTTCAGAGAAATTGGTACATTTCTCAGAACCATGAGCAAACAATGCTTAAAAATGTTAATTCTCCTCCTCACAGACTTCAATTGCAAAATTAAATTAATAAAACTATTTACAAAAGTTAGATTGTTTTAATAGCTTGTTTAATATTAGGCATGACGGTGTCAGAGTACATTATGTTTACAGTTGATATCATACCATCTTCGCAAGAGCAGTGGTTTTATTATCCTTCATTTTGTGGATTTAAAGAAGTTACATTATACAGTCATTAGCTGAAGCATTATCTTAGATTTTGTATTTTAAAGACTGGAAAATAGCTTAAGCACTCTTTTGAAAAACAATTTTTATCACCTGTTGGTTTTAGCACTTCACTGTTTACAGCATGATTCTAGAGCTGGCAAATGAGGCAACTAAAAAAACAAGATCTTACTAAGAGTTGAAGGGTTATATCTGATGTACTTGCTTTTAATAGTATTTTCTACATCATCTACTTTTCAGTTCTTTTGTTAGAGCATCACTGGAAAACAAAATATGGATATAAGAATAGGTGTTAAGAAAAGCTCATGCAAAATAATGCAGACATGCACACAGCTCAGGAAGGAAAGAACTGCAACTCATTATTTACTGTGTTCTAAGATTTTAATCTGAAATTTAAATTCAGTATTTGCTGCAGTACATGAGGTTTTCAGTGAGCTATGCAGCAACAAAAGTCCTAAGGAAGTTCACGGATGTGCCAACCTTCACTGCCTTCCTTAAGCAACACCAAACCAGTGCTAAACAATACTGCTTTCCCATAAACAGCAGGTACATGTCAAGAGGTGTATACACACAGCTGCCCTTTGAATAGTTATCCACATCTGTCACAATTATAAAATCCCACAAAAATATTGATGTCAACCAATTGCAAAAAAGCCCAACTTATTCTCTCCCTGATTATTATAAGAGTAAAATTCTGTTTCATACAGTCACTTACACACATGCATACACCATTGACTACATGGACACCAATGAACACTTATTTTTGAAGTGCCCAAAACACTTGACATTTAGACAGGACAAAAGCAGGGGTGGATGGTGTTTTATGGTGCATTTTGGGTTTGTTTTTTTAGGTTACCAGGCAAAATAATCTTGTGTCTAATTTAGCATCAAACCAATAGAATTTACTAGACCAGGTTTGACTTGTCTACCATTGCCAAAGACACGCATATATAATGCCACTGTCTCTTTTACTAAACATTTCACAGCAGAAGTGAAAAGTAATTGCAATCATGGACAGGAAATTAAAAAAGAAATCAGGTTTAACTCAACAGGTCCTAGGGAACATTCCCCCAACATAGAATTTTATGAAAAGAGTCAGAAGATTAGAGATTAAAGTTTTGCTGGCAAGAATAAGAAACGCATAACATCAGGGCAACTAAAGATTAGTAAATCTAATACTCTTAGAAGTTTAATATCTGAAGTCATGGATTAGCAATATCAAAAACTAGACTGGGGCAGCTCACCAACAGCATACAGGCATGATGTCAGTACAACTGCAGCAATGTTTTGACAACTTCTTAGTGGTAACTGGCTAAAAATGTCTCTATATTTCTTCACATTTGCTCCTTAGGCATGATTTCTTTTAAATCTTTCTTAATGGTTTCCTCTTTCCAGTAACACAGAATTTGCAATAAAATTAAGCTACCCATGTAAAGGAAAGGGTATTTTTAGATTGTTCACCTAGAAATTAGAACATTAATACTTTTTTTTTTCAGATACATTTCACAGTTGACAGCTCAAATGGAATTTGTGTCAAACAAATATGAAAGCACTTTGGTGTTTGGTTGGCAATTTAACTCCACTCCAAGGGACAGGATCATGAAAAGTACTTTGAGTAAATTACCCTAATAAGTATTTAATTCTGAATATGTTCATATTATAAAGCATTTTTGTTAATATATGTCATTATGTTAGAGAAAGAACAGTGAGCAGTTTTGGGTGGTTTGAAATTTATAATAGAACAAATTAAGATAACAAAGGTGCTTAGAGGAAATACAAGTCTAGAATGTTTAATCTGCTTTTTTACCCTTGAACATCTTGTCTGATTAAAGAGTTACTCCCACTTCACAACGTGAAATTCGTGATTCACAAAGTTACTTCATAGTCTCTCACTGAAGTCAAGCTTAAGACCTGGGAACCTTAATGCTGCACTAGCATGTGGAAATGAAGCCACTGTCAACCACAGTTTAAAACAGTCTTGTATTTTCCTTACTCTATACCTACAAGAAAGAAAACACCGTTTTCTAACTAATACACACTTAAGGAGCTTTCATTACTCTGCATAGCCTCTTATGCAAACTTCCCATCCTTCACTATGAAATAAATCACTAGCTTGAAGCTCAACACTCTACATTCAGCAAGACCAAAAGCTTAACAGAGAAAAATCTAAAATGACGCAATTACTACTTCATACTGCACCAGCCACTAAAACCACACCTAACTAGTTTCAGTCCTTGATAAGACAGAATTCAATTCTTCATCTGTTAGATTTCTAGGTACCATTCTTGCACTCCCCTTGCCTGAGGAAAATCTGCAAAAGTAGTGCTCAAATATTTTAGTGGTGCGACAGAAATGGCACAATTCCTCTGCCATCCTCTGTTGTAAGGTATTTTCTTTTTATTTATTCCATTTCTACAGGTTTTCCTAGTTCAAAAAAACAACATAAATATTCCCAAAACACAACAACAGTTTAGCATACGAAGGAAGATCATTAAGAATATATAACATATGCAATTACTCCTACATATTTATCAACTAACTGAAGGAAGAATTGCTTCAATGCTTATAGGGAACTGTTCCTTCTTCTACAGGCCATGTTCTCCTCACCAGACTCTCCAATTCCATAAGCAGCCAAGAAATTGAAAGACTTAAAACCACATTTAAAAACTTATTGTGGCTGCTATTTCTACTGTTCAGGCTGATTGATTACACAGAGCTGCTGTATGTAGCAAACCACTAGGCTCAGCATTGTAAACAAAGGGGCCAGTACAGGTTGGGGGACTCCTGAGACACATGTGCACAGTACCTTTTAAACATTGCCAAGGCATGCAAAGTGCCACACAATTAGATTTAACACTAAGCAATACTGGGCATTCTAGTTACTTCATTATTTCTCTTTTGCTGTAAAAAGCTGCAAGATCTTCATAGAGGTTTACCAGCATTTTAGATTTGGAGTCTCTTTTGGAGCATGTATTTAGCTCTTTATAAAAGTTCTGTCATTTTGCTTATCTCTCACAATCTACAAATGTGAAAAGTGATCACAGTACTAGTCCCTAATATTACATTCTTCAAGAGATGAAAACCAAAATGGGAAGTGCTGATACTATTTTCTTGGTTTCTCTTCTTGATTGAAAGTAAAAGTTTCTAAATTTTTTATAAAAACCACTGAGGCTAAGTTTGTTAGCATTAGTTAATTTTTAGATCAATCTGAAAACAGCTGTAACATGTTAGAGACTGACTATCCTGACCATTTTGAAAATAGTGCCACATATACATGCACAATTCAACAAGCCCACAGTGACATGCAGTGACAGCTCAAGGAGGTTATGGTGGGGAAGGAAGTAAAAAGTGCTTTTCTGGCAACACTGGTGGGTGTGGGGAAGTGGTCTGCTGCATGCATGCTAAATATGGTGGAACATTTAGATACCCTACCTGAGGGGTGATCCGATGAGCAATGTAGGAGGGGTAGGGTTACTCCCTGCATTGTGCCGGCGTCGTACTGCCTGACGCCTAAATGTGCTGCGTTCACGGCGAAATGTGACAGTCTCCTCGCTGGCTTGTGCTGCTGCATCAAGACAGACTTTAGGTCAAATACGAACCCATCCTAGTTACGTCAACAGTAACTTAAGACTCCTTTCTTCCCTCTGACCCTCCCCAAGTTAACGAACTTGACTCACAACAACAAAAGTAGCTTACGTCCTAACTGTTCAAAAAAGCTGCCTCAAGACAGGACCACAACACACAGTTATTAGCAAAAACCTGGGTGGCTGGGGGAATGTTCTAGGGGGAGTGTTCTTGAATATGCAGCTTACATTTTTCCGCCCCCAGATCCAAATAGCCAGGTTGTAAAAAAGGTTGGATACCCCAAATTTTTTTCCATTAATGCATGGCAGGAAGACCTGATCTCCCCCCTTTATCTCACTGAACAGATAACTAAGGAGAAGCCTGAAGAACTACCCAGCTAAGTTGTCTACCACTTCTCACCATAATCTTCTCAATTTTTTAACTTCTGCCAAATAGGCAGGGTTGAAGTCAACCTCTTCACAGCTCTTTAAGGGGACAAAAGAAGCTTTTTTTCTCATAAGCATCAAGGGATACACGTTGCTCCTTCTAGACTCATTACAATATAATTTATAGGGGCAGGAGGTTGAGAATAAGTAACAGAATAATTTATTTTTAAGGACTGATGGTTTTGTTATTTCAGGTTCCCAAACAAAAGGTTTGGTTCAAATTTATAAAGCAACATCGTAAAAAACAGTTTGTATGTACTCAAGGGATTAAAATATTTATCCACACATCATCCCCCAAAATCCACTTGTGCTCCTTAAGCACTACAATCTGAAAAATTTCAGATTTGGACTGCTTCATGGTGTGTCTACAATCTGAGAAGTCTTCCTCCTGAGCCAAGGAAGCTCCTCGTCAATTTGAATGCAGAGCACTATAGAGCTCAAATGAATGGGCCGCAAAAACAATAGGGTTTGGCAGGCAAGTGGAGGAGAAAACAAAAATTGACATGAAGTCAGTGCAAGAGGAAAATCACAATCTTGACAGGGAAGTCACAAGAAGCTTCTTGGTGGCCAAGAAGCTTGTTACTAGAGTGAAAAAACCAAGAATTGTGTCAAAAAACAAACACCCCCCTCTCCCCGCTACAAAAAAAACCACAAACAAACCCAGAGAGCAATGGCAGGAATACTACAGGCAGAGCAGCCCATATGCACTTCAGCACACTTCAAGTTCCAACACTACTGCCATTAAGCTTTAACACTTACCAGCAAAGACTCTAATGCTGGTCTACAGGGAACAACAATCTATAGCAACCTACTACTGTTGTGTGCTACTGCCACAGCTAAAGTAATAAAGGCTGAAACAAAAGTTTCATTCACGCATGAACCACAGGTTACCAAATAAATTCTCTGTCTGAAGCTTCCATTTATAGCTTGCTTTAAAACAAAGAAGCTATGTGAAGAGATTTACTTTAACATCAACATTCAAGCTACAAGCATTTCATTGTCAAAACTATAGATGTTAAGGGCAATGCTAATTCAGTCCTTTCCTGTACTTTCAGAAAAACCAGGGATTTGCTCATTCCCTCCTCATTCCTCCACAAATAAGTGTTTTTACAATTCTAAGCATCAATAGATTATACTATCTTTTCAGGGTATTTCAGCAAGAATTCAGTAAGTTTCTACTGTGGTTTAATATACACCTTTATTTTAATACACTGTCTAATTTCTTTAAGCATTTCTTTGCAGCTCTCACACTCAAAGTACAAAGCAACTGAACCACACTAAATAAGACAGACTGAATTCTGACACACAAGGTCAAAACCACCCATTAATTTTCTATTACAATTTATAAAGCTCATTTTTTCTAGGATACACATCAGCATATAAAAATTCATATTTACAACACAACTTCCACTGAGTTCAGATGCAAAGCAATTCTAGTAATCAGACCATAGTTAAGCACCACAACAAGGAACAGTGACTAGTCTTAACTGAAATGTAAATATCTGAATTATCATTAAGATGGTAAACATCAGCACTGTATCTTAATTACCACTTGCAACTACTTAGCAAAAGCAGCATTCAAGTGCAATTCTTTAAGGTAGCACACTGATAGCTACGTGTCATGTTCTGCAATAACTGAAACAGAGACTAAGAAAACATGATAGGTCCTCCCTATATAGCTCCAATTTAACACTAAAGCAAGTCTCAAGAACTAACAGAGGCAGTGTCCTGTGAGGAAACTAGATATACAACATGCTTGAAGATAAGAAAAAAAGCAAATTTAAAAAACTAATACATACTTGGGGATTAAATTCAAAACTGTAGAGGTCAACAGCTTTGGCATTTTCTAACTGTTTATTATTTCATTTTAACTTTTAGAAGTCAAAGTAGATTTTGGTGTAGCTTTCTACCTGTTTTACCACAAGATTCTTGATTTATCATCTTGAAACTTTTGTTCAGTGCACATCTTTTATACACATTCTTCCTATATGCAGGTGGTGCCATTCAGGGTCACTATACAAGTCTACAAGTTGTTCTGAAAAGACTGCAGGGCTGTTCAGACCAACAAGCTCCAAGTCTGCTAACATTACACAACACTGCGAGAAGCTACATGTAAAAAACATGACCAAAGAAGTTTAAAAAAATGCAAGCTGAGCAGAGAGGATTAGCATAAAGTGTGGAAAGCTAAACTGCTCAGTTTGCTTTTGGTTGGAAAGGAAAACCAGAGAGCCTGTGGTTTGGTTTTGTTTACTGTATTGGCCCCCCGCGTTTGCTCACTCTTCCCCAAGACTTTTTAGGGAATGTTTGTTTTTAATATAATTTCACAGAAGACATACAATTTAAAATGTACACATACCAGTACGGAAAGCTATTTATGTTAATTTGTATTATTTGTGTTTGTACTTGCCTTTAATGAGAAGGAACAGTGCAACTGCTTGTAAGTTCACCAGCAGGAAGTAAGACGAAATCCCTAAATTCCCTCTACCATGATCTGAGAGCAGTTCTATCATGTTTCACTATAAATAAGCTTTAATATTTATGATGTCACATACACTTCTCCAATACTGCTTACAACTTATCCTAGACTCCAGAAATGTAAGATCCAACATCTAGTCATGTACAAAATCTAGATGTAACAGGATGAGATAACAGGTAACACTTCTAAAGTTCATGCTTCAGTTTAATCAGCAGAGGAAGACAAGCTTTTCAGCTTATAGAATGTTTGTTAAAAAGTGCTCTGTTTTTTAATTCTACACTTCCATGCAGAATCACTGCACTTCATATCAAGAAATTCAAGCATTTCCTCTGCATGCTGTTATTTGAATATGAGTCCCCAGCACTATCTACCCTCAAGAACACAAAAATCATGTTTGAAGTTCAAGGTGCACAAATTAAAAGTACAAACCTACACCCCAGAGATCAATAAAATAAGAAATGGAGACTTAGTGACAACCTTGTAGCAAACTTAACTCCTCACATGCCTATTTCCAAATATAATACAACTCTTTTCAAAGAAGAAATAATGACACTTGTTATCTGTTAATGAATGTGTATGCATGCACAGTTGATTAGAATTAATGTGCTTTACACTTCTAACTGGAAACAGTTACACACTTAAAACATCGTGAGGATATAATTTTGTCATCAGACACTTGGAAAGATGCTTTACATTGAACCTTTTTAAGCCCACTTCTATAGTTTTACTGAGTTTTAAACAGAACCTGGAGACTCACAGTTTTACTCTACATCTATGCAACTGTTATATAAGACACCTAGCTTTAAGAAACAAAGTAAAATATTTTCCTTTGAACAGGAACATTTATATAAAAAAAGCCAAAACATTTGCAACATCTCCCTGCATCTACTTAACAATGCTTTTAACCAAAACTTAAAAGACAGAAGCTTAAGAAGCACAACATGAAAAAGCAGAACTAACAAAATTTTACTGCATCGGTAAGACCATTTCATTTTGCTACAAACAAATGCTAAACCCACTGCCTTAGATAACTTCTAAATTACAGAAAAAATTTTCATAAGAAGATTCCTGGAAAGATGCAGTATGAAACTAATACAAGGGTGAAGTATCCAGGTGGAAAAACAAAGTCCATAGGATAAAAATTGTAATCTTTCTAACTAGAAAGCAAGGAAGAAAAAAAAAAAAACTACCATAGCAGAAAGTCTCCCTCACTCTTCTCAGGAAAAAAGGGAAAAAAAATAAAACAGCTAAAAAACCAAACACCCCTCCCCCATCACTTAAAGCCTAGATGGTTTTGAACATTAGTCAGATTAAGCATGGTTAAAGGTGCCCACAGAACCTATGTGATGCTTGGACATGCCCTTTCTCACCCTAAAATGGGAAAAAGAACTATTATCAATCACTAATTACTAAGCCTACCAAATTCTCAGCAAGAGCTGGAATGAATAGTTTATGGCTCATGTACTCACATAAACAATGAAATTTGCAAATGCAAGTAAGCAATTAAATTCTTCAAAGACAGAATGCATTTTACCAAACCAAACAGCTGAAATGCTGTCCTTCTCTACTGAGCACCTAGATCTCATTTGTGTTGGAAACCTGAGATGTACTTCACACGCATTTATGGGTTAACACTACTGTTCTCCTCGTGGCTGAGGCATTTATAGCTGATTTTCACATGCCCTAGCACTATATAAAAAACCATGCTTGAAAGATACCCAAGTAAAAAGAAGCAGTCTGTTCAGTCCATATCTTCAGTATGCAGTTGTTAATGACCATAATATTATGCACCTTAATAAAACCTACAACTGCAGGGATTACTTATACTTCTCTGAGAAAAAAAATCAAAATATTAGCTCAGAGTATTATAACTTACTGTGGATATTTAATTAAAAATATCACTAATGACTATTTCTGAAGAACAGAGGTGTGTGCAGCAAAGGAGAAACAATGAAGAACAGCGTGATATCTCCAAGTTACAAACTTTTGCTAGAAAATAGTGCAGAAGAAAATAACACACAATTCAGGAGAGAAAGTAAAGCCCAGGACTTCAATTTTGTGGTTGCATTTATAAAAAAG